GCAATTGCAAAAGGAATGAGAAAACAAATTACGACCCTTAAAATAAACTCGGATGGTTGGTGTGAAGACCAGGAAATTCTTAAGAAGCATGTTAAGGAATTCTATGAGAACCTGTTCACTAGGGATATTTCGAGCAATCAAAATCTGGATGATCAAAATCTTTTCCCTGAACTGAAAAAAGATCATTGGGATTTCTTGGATAAACCGGTTGAAAACAATGAGATTAAAGAGGCTTTATTTAGCATGGGTCCTCTCAAAGCTCCCGGATTAGATGACTTTCATGCTACTTTCTATCAAACTAATTGGGATACGGTTGGGGAGAAAGTCTGCCAGTTAGTCAAACAGTGCATTAATGAGGGTCAGCTTATTAAAGGGATTAATAGAACGAGTTTGGTGTTAATTCCTAAGGTTGATAATCCTGAAAGAATTAATCAGTTCAGACCCATTAGCCTCTATCAGGTTATCTACAAAATTATTACAAAAGTTATTGCTAACCGCCTTAAACCTATGTTGCCTAATGTCATCTCCAATAGTCAAACGAGTTTTGTTCTGGGAAGAGTGATTACTGATAATATCATTCTTGCTCAAGAGGTAGTTCATTCCATGAAGAAAAAGAAAGGAATGAAAGGATGGTTTGCCATTAAAATTGATTTAGAGAAAGCTTATGATAGGATGGACTGGAATTTTATTAAGAATACGATGGAGAAATTGGGATTGCCTAACAGAATTATGGGAGCAATAATGAACTGCATAAGCTCTACGACTATTCAGATTAACTGGAATGGAGAACTTACCGAGCCTTTCTAGCCTTCTCGAGGAATCAGACAGGGAGACCCTTTATCACCTTATCTCTTTATTATATGCATGGAAAGATTAGCACGAGAAATAAAGTTAGCTGTGGAAAAAGGAAATTGGAAACCTATTAAGCTTTCTAAGAATGGTCCTAATATTTCTCACATTTTTTTTACAGATGATCTAATCCTTTTCGCGGAGGATGACAATTCTCAAATTGAAGTTATTCAAACTACTCTTAATAGATTCTGCTGTAACTCAGGGCAGAAAGTTAACCTGCAAAAATCCAGCATCTATTACTCCAACAATGTTGATGCACAAACCAGAAATTCCTTTACAAGCAAACTAAAGACTAAGGAAGTGGAAAACCTTGGAATATACCTGGGAGTTCCTATACTGCACAATCGAATTAATAGAAACACCTACAACAGTATTATTCAAAGAGTCAAAGATATACTAACAGGATGGAAAACTAAAACACTTTCTCTGACAGGAAGAATTATGCTTGCCAAATCAGTAATTTCATCAATTTCTGCTTATGCTATGCAATCAATCCTAATTCCTAAAGGAGTATGCAATGAGTTGGAAAAACTTACCAGGAGTTTCATCTGGGGAAATACCAATGATAAAAAAGGAGTGCACCTTGTGAACTGGGACACGCTCTGCAAACCTATAAAAGAATGAGGACAAGGGCTAAAGAAATTAAGGAGCCAAAACAAGGCTTTTATTTTTAAACTTGCCCATAAACTTACTAATAGACTTGATCTTCTGTGGGTGCAGGTAATGAGAAGTAAGTACAAAATAAAGGAGTCCTAACTGAAGAGTTACATAAAAGAGGTGGATCTCAACTATGAAATCAGATTTGCTCACTATGGCCTAAATATAAACAGAACACTTGCTGGAATATTGGCAATGAAAAACAGGTGGAATTCTGGCATGATAAGTGGTTAAACAATAAAGAACCCATATCTAGCCTCTGCAATCAACCAAAGGAAGTTGAGAATGACAAATTAAAAGTGAAGGATATGGTCAACCAGAACGATACCTGGGACTGGAACAAAATAACAAAATTTATCCCGGATCAAGTTATCAGTATGCTCAAAGCTACTCCGCCTCCAGTGGATGAGCACCTGACCGACTCTCCAGGTTGGATTATCTAGGAAAAAAAGGTGTTCTCGGTGAAATATGCTTACAAATGGTTAGCAAATATAAACAACAATATGGAAGGGAAAATTTGGAGTAGTATTGCAAAGCACAGAAACATACCCATGATTAAAACATTTTTATGGCTGATTGGAGGAAATAAGATCCTAGCCAATTCAGAAAGAAAACGAAGACACATGACATTGGATGAGAGTTGCCCTATGTGTGGATACGAAACCGAAGACATTAACCACACTTTGAGACTTTGTCCTAAAGCCTTAACTATATGGGCAGAATTGATCGATCATAGAAAAATGGATAGATTCCTAAGCAAGAGTATGGAGGAATGGGTTATCGAAAATCTTGAAACAACCCAATCCCCAAATACTAGAACAGAGAATTGGCCGATTTTATTCAGCTCTGTTATTTGGTTAATCTAGAAAAGAAGAAATCAGGTAGTTTTCGACTCTGAAATGGTTGAGAGAGATTCAATCATCCAACAAGCATTGAGACTTACTCAGGAGGTTGAAAATTCAGAAACCCTAAAGACTGGGATTAATCAAACCAGGAAGAATGTCCAATATGGATGGAAAAAACCAGAGATTAACTACTGTAAAATAAACACTGATGGAACAAGAAACCAGAATTATGGAGATGCAGCATGTGGAATAGTAGCTAGAGATTACGAAGGTAATTGGCTCTGGGGATTTGGCAGGAAAATAGGTATTTGTTCCTTATTGGAAGCAGAACTCTGGGGAATTCATGAAGGTTTAAAAATGGCATGGATAAAAGGAGAAAGAAAAGTTATACTGGAATCGGATAACAAGGAAGTAGTAAAACTGATAAACAATAGATCGACCGAACACATACAACTAACAATACTTCAACACATAGACAATCTGCTCAAAAGGAATTGGGAAGTAAAGATTCAGAACATACCGAGGGAAGCCAACCGAGTCGCAGACATCATCGCCAAGCAAATGAGGAACCAACGAGAAGATTCTGTTTTTCTGCACATTTACCCTAAAGAAGCTGAGGAGATAATTAGAGCCGATAAAACGGGCTTCTAAGAGGCCCATTCACCTGTATTAAACCAAAAAAAAAAGGGGATTCCATTATATTTAACAACATAAAATTATTTTTAAAACTAAATTCAAACCTTAAACTACTATTCTCTAACACAACGAAACACTTAGAATACATCTACTCTAAACATTCTGAAACGAAATTGTAAAAATTAAAATCCTAAACAACCATTGAAAACTCTTAACCTAAAATCATATATCAGTAACCTAAATAGAAAATTAAAAACAATAAAATCAAGGAAATGGGTATTTTGTAAAACACGTATTTTTCTTTTTTCTGATCAATTATGTCACGTAAAACTTATAAAATGTGCAGCTTCGCCTTATGTGACACAACATGATACTTTAAAGCTATTATAATTATAAATAAAAAGAGGTATATTTGAATAATAAAACTTCACACTGAAAAATAAATGAAAAAGAAGAAATAAGTCTTTTTATTTTTGAATTATTCATTGTAATCGATCATAACATCATTTTAGTCCAAATCGATAAAAGAAATATTTATTTTAGTTTAAAAGAAAAAAGAAATTTTTATTAATTTATATTCAAATTTAAAATTTTGATTCAATTAATTTGAATTCAATTTTAACCTAATTTAATGTAATTATAAAACCTAATTTTAAATTTGATTTAAATCTAAAACAATCCAAATTCTTAATGGCCTAATCCAAAATAATCTAATCTTAAATTTTATATAATTCTAATTTGAAACAAATTAGATTCCAGATAAACCCATACTAAAACAATACCAAATCCATTTAAATTAACCCTGCAATCCAAATATAAATTTCATTCCAGTCCTATATCTGGAACCTAATATGTAGATGCTCTTAAGGTCCACGCAGTGGCTTTTGGATGTACTTTAATATAATAAACGTCCATTAAATTATATGAAAAGTGAACAAAGGATGGCAAATGAAAATGGTAATTTCTTAATCAGCATATTTTAACTAGCAAGGTTTCATGTTTCATATTATTTTCAATTATATAATTTGTATGGATAGAGTCAAAAAAGATTCTTGATGAGACTAGGATTATATTTTAATAAAATATTAATTATTATATCAATACTTTTATGTGATACCTTATATCTTTAATTTAATACGTACCGAAGACATTTAATACTTAAAAAATGGAGAACTTTATCGTAACATAAAAAACAGGTGGCTGAAGTGTTTTTCGGATTCTTTGCTTTATTGGGTGTATTATTCTGTCAACATTTATGGCTGAAAATGTAACTTTAATAAAAGGGGATTTTGTTATGATGTAGATGTTAATGGTGGCACTGTGAGCTCTGGCTCTTGGAATATTCTATTTCTTTTAAATCCATAATATTGTTTGTTTTTCAATATTTTGAACTCCAGATAATTATTATTAGGATACTCTTGATTTTGGTTAAAAGATTAACCATTAATATCTCGTTACGTTTATATTATAGTTTAATTTTAACTTTACCTTTTATACATTTTTTCTTAATGTGGTATACCGGGCTACAATAGATGGATTTTTAGGTATCCGACTTTATATAATTCAAAAGGTTGATAGTAACTCAAAAAATAAATTTTTCGTAAGTTAAATATTTAATCCGTACTTAAGGATTGATCTGACAAATCTTATGTGTACTTTTATCTTCTAAGCCATACAATTGATGCTGTGAAACGACTAGTGTTTGTGACATACCAAACGCCTTTTTTTTCATGCATTTGTCATGATATACTCTCCTCTCCTAACCGGTATTTTAAAAATAGGTATAGAAGCTTAATTCATCAAGTGGTCTTAGCAGTAAAATGGGATATTATTCTTTTTAGAGATATTAGATTCGAACAGTTGTGTTTACTTGATATATATACATTGTTAATTGATTAAGAAAGTTTTGAACAAACACTATCGTATTCACCCTATAGTACTAAAAAAATGAATACAAAAACAGCATCCAGCATGAAAATTGTCAAAACATTTCAACTCGTAAAGCTGGTGATAAGCAAAGAAAGATGGAAAACATCAGAAACAAAACTAAAAAACGAGAAAAGGAAAAAGTAACATTGGAAGCGGTAATTATTAGTGTGATGGTTGGGAGATATTTTGTGGTGGTAGTAGCGTCTCTGCAAATTGATTTTCCTTATCTTCGTTTGAAACCAATTTGGTGGTATAAAGGGTCTTTCATTTTCTTCAACATTGTAACAGCAGCAGCAGTAGCTAAAAGAATCAACCCCACTATCATTGGGACTGCAACCAGTGAACCATAGTTAGAATTACTCAAATTTGCAACTCATAGAGAAAAAGAAGGGTCAAATAATGATCTTGGTCCCGTTACTTTCTCAATTTTTTAATTTAATCACTGTATTTTTTATGGCATAATGTCAAAATTAACCCCCAACATTTATCAAAATGGTCATATTGACCTCTATCCTATTTTTGGGAATATTTTCCCCAATGTTTCATTTTGGGGGCAAAATGCCCCTTCTAAAGATGGAAATAGTTACTTAACACACTATTAACGCTCCAAAGTATGAGTTTTTTTTTTATCTTAAAATGAAATATTGATGGCCAAAATACTTCAGAAAAAAGGATAAGGATCAAGGTGACTATTTTGTCAAATGTTAGGGTCTTTTTTACTTTAAAATGAAATATTTGGGCCAAAATGCTAAAAAATGAGTCTGAAATGATAATTTTAATAAACATTCGGGGATAATTTTGATATTATTCATTTTTTATCATGGTAAGGAGAAGGGGCTGTCCAAGGTTTTGAACCAAGACCTATTATCAATAAAAAAATTGAGTAATGCAAATCATTCTCCATTTCATCAGTGGTTTACTCGACTGATTTATGTACTTAAATTTGTCATAATTTCATATTTAAATTTTATAACATCATTAATTAGTTTAAAAAGTTAAAACCTTTAATCATATCGATTAAAATACCAGCATTGATTTTCCCAAAAGAAAATCTTTTTCAACATAATGAGTTGATTTTTATTTAAATGTCAGTATATTAATTAATTGAATTAACAAGTAATATTATAAAAACAGAATATCAAATGACGTTAAATTAAAACATATAGATAGTGGAGGGAGCAAAACTAAAATTTGACCCAAAAAGGAATGATGAAAAAAATTATTACCTGAATTTGGTGGTAAATGGAAGCAGGTTCTTTTAAATTGGAATCCAAAGTCGTGACGTTGAGGCAACTCCCAAGTTAGGCCCAGACCAAAGCTACTATCAGAAAGATAAGAACTATAAGCAAATGGAATGGCAACAGTTTTGATGGTCCTGCAGGAATCTGGAACCTCAAGATATGATTCCACAGTATAAACATGATGCTGAGAGCCACTCAAGCAAGGGATTTCTGGGATTGAACTCCCAATGGAAGCTGAACAGTTCAAGTAGGTATAGTTCTTAACCACATAGAAGTAATGGAATGGAGTGTGGGAAAGATCGAGGTTTAAAAAAACCTCATGAACACAGTTTCTGGAGTCAAGAAGATCTAGTTTCCTTGTGCCGTAAGAAATGGATTTGACGACCAAATCGCCATAAAAAGGGAAGTGAATGATGGTGGAATTGTTTCTGCAAAAAAGCCCAAAACTTGGGTCACCATGGTGCTGGGTTTTTAACCTGAAAGGGGACATGATTTTGAAACCCTTTGGACCACATTTTGCAGGTGGGGAAATGGCATCTAAAGCTGCTGCATATGGAAGGAGTACTATAGAGAGGGAAAGGATGAAGAAGAAAGAAGCATTCATTGTTTGTAATGGCAAATACAAAAGGAATAGAGAGTGTAGCAACAAATCAATGGATCCTATAAAGGATGATGAGTCGTATTATAAATGGGTTTTAACATGTGTAGAGTGAAAGAAGAGTCTAGCACACGCACAACGACTTTTGATACATACAAGTACTTGAATGCATGGAAGAACCCTAGTCAATGAAGGTAGCTTCCGCCACTAAGAAACTAAGGTTTCCTTCAAGTTTTAAACGTCATTTGCGGTCAACATTGTTATTATTAAAAGGATAATTGGATAACTCATTTAATAGGTTTAGCGATAAATTATAATATTATTTTTCCTAGAAGTCATAAGTTCAAATAAATATATTTGGAGGGTGTGTACATATTATCAAATATTAAAAAAATATCGAAAGATTTCATCATTTCATCAGAACGTAAAATTAACTTAAATTAAAGAAAAGTAAAAATTTTTAAACTCCAATTAACTCAATCCAAAATCATAAAAAAAAACAAAAACAATCGTACCAATTGAGAGCAACCGATCAACAATCTAGTGGATAAACTCAAAGTTGTGGAAATTGCCTGTCTTATTTGTCAATGTTATTATGGACCACTAGTCTCTGTTCAAAGGTCTTTTTACCATCCCAAAGACCCCAACTAAGTTTGATTCAAAGGGCGTATACAAGTCATTTTCTCCCTTATTAAAAGTTGATCGCTTTCGTGTTAGTTGTGCCATTGAATGACTTCTCTAACACTTGAGGAATCATCCCTTTACACTTTATATAGTTTATAGCATTAAGCAATCTCATGAAGAGGGATTACTTGAACATGGAACTAGTTTTGCTATTAAATTTGATTATAGTAATTGAAACAAAATTCATAATCCCATCTGTCGCAAAGTGGAGTTTTGGTGCATAATTACTATTATTTTCACTTTTTTCCTCCTTGAAAACCCAAAACAGAGGAATAAGATTATGAGATTTTAAGATTAATTGCCCCAGATGTCCTCTCCAACCATGACCCAAATTACAAGTGTAAATGAACATAACATTCGATGAATTGTTCATATAACGTTTATTTATATTAATTTATTATACTAAATATACGAGTAATAACAAAATTTTTATGTTCATTTAATAAATAAATAAACACAAACATAAATATATTCAATTCGTTTATGTTCACAAACAAACTCATTTATGCTCATTTAATAAATTGTGAAACATAATAAACTTGAGGACTAATTGTGTAATTTCACAATTTTCTTTGGCTTGCAAATGAAAAGATAAAAAATTAAACATATTTACAAACGTTAAACGAATATGTTCACAAATACTAAACAAACGAACGCGAACACCTTTAAAAATAAATAAACAAAATGAACACTTGCCGAACATGAAAACTTTTAGAAATAAAACAAACACGAACAAGACTTTGTTCATTCAAGCTCAATTCATTTACACCCAGACCTAGATTTAAAATTGGTCCTCAAACTTCAATGGAGATTCTTTAAAATCCAAAGCATTTAGTTAAAAACTTTTTAACAGTAGTAAAGGAATAGTAAGTTTGGGATATGATCAATTGATCTTAATTTTTAGAATAAAAATGAAGTCAATAGCATCATAAATGCACCATGAGGAGGTCTGATATATTCTCTGATGACTTTGAGACACGTAACTTTGAAGAACTAATAATAGCAAGGCCCACAATAGAAACTAATATAATTCAAGGAAATATCATAGGAGATCTTTAGCAAGCCTCATTGGCTTTTCTTTGAGAACAGCAACATCGATGTTCGGTGTAGTCAGCAGATGATGATCTTCCTCTTCCTCGCTCTCTTCCATTAACGATGATGCAGCCGAACCTGATAATTCGTCATCTGCATTCAAGGATATCATAACAAAAAAAAATGAAAAGGCAGTCTGGCTCAGAATTTGACAAAAGTTCAATGTAAGAATCTGTAGCCCTGGATAATTGCTTTTGGATAACTGCTTTTGGATCCATCTCTGTTGGTTTATCCTATCCCAAATGCAGTACAACTTAGCACATTTTTTATTATAGCCTAAGTTAGCAGAACAGATCCAGCGTTCTCAGGATCAAGAAAACTACGAGCATTTGAATCATTTGCAAGCCGATTATAAACTCATCTGATTCAGTCATTCAGCAGTGCATAATACCTAGAATAAACTTGGTGAAACTTATGAAAAAACATGATAAAGCTTACCAGAAAATGCAGGACGATTGGGAGGATGTCGAACTGCTGTCACTTGAATGCTTTCAGGAAGTAGACAGTTACAAAACGAACCTGAAAGTCGAATACCTCGTTGATCAGATGAAACAATTGCATGGACTACAGAATCCACAGTAAAATATCCTACAAGTGTACAGAATCCACGGTTAAATATCCTAGAAGTGTTGGGAGCTATTCCATCCAATCCTTCAAAAATAAATTATAGACGTGATATTCCCCACACAAGACAATCTAACCATGAGAAATACTTTTAAAACATGCAATATGAATATGAAATCAACTGCCATTAGAAGCTATCTCGTAAGGTACTCAAATACAACAAAGATTCTTTGATCACATGCACACAAAAGAGCAAGCAATTTTCCCACCTAGTCGAGCCAGCCTATTTACCCATCCAGGAATATGTTTTCCAGTTAGCTGCATACACACGTCATCAGTGAAATGGTTGCAATTCTTAGCAATCAAATGATATGTGTCCCCTTGGTATTTATACGAAAGTTGTTCCATAAATAACCGGAATTCCGAACAAGACATGCCGGTGCTGCCCAACAATACCGATCGTCTGAAGATGAAACCAGGACAACTTCTTGGTTCAACTTCAAACACCCCACTTGTAGGGTACTCGTGTGCTCCAAAGCCATACTCCATCCCATGCACTGATTAGAAGAATACAGGGCAAATTAAATTAATCCAACAGATTTTGAAAACAAAAATCAGGAGAATGTAAAAAGTAAACATTTTCTTTTAATACATAACAAATCATTATGTAATGGGGAACTATGAACAAACTTTACAAAACAGAGATGATAGCAAAACTAGATTAATTAATGCCATCAATGTAAAGATTTAAGCTACTCCAAATGGTAATCAAATTGCATAACGAATTTGCGGCCGAATCATATATAGACACTAAGAGTCTTTAAATGAAAACCCACATTATATCCTACATCGCCAGCATGTCCAAAGCTATTTATCAAATAACTAAGCGTCAGAAACTAGCAATGGCAATCAACTTACAAGACAAAATCATCCGCATCTAAGCAGCAAAATGAAGTTCGCAGAAGGAGAAAAGGATGATACCTTCAATCCCAGAGTGGAATATACCAAGGCCGAACCAGTAAAGGAAGTTATTTATAGGTGTGAGATCATATACATTGAGATACAACAAAACGCGATTGTTTCCTCCATTGCTTTGCTCCTTTGTCACACTTGAATCTGATGGAAACAACCGCATTGTCCCCTTAAAAAAATTAACCTAATATTCTTCAAACTTATATCACAAACTCCTCATCCTCTGCACAAAATTAAAAAATATATATGGGTTATATACTAATACCAACATGATGTCAAAATTCAGTAATTATACAAAAAAAATCTCTACTACTTAGCACAATGTCGTAAAAGTAGAAACTGAAGCAGAAAAACCCCAGAGAGTAGGAATCGCTACAAGGCTGAAAAAGAATGGAAAAATAACAGATTTTGAGTCTAAAATTTTAAGGGTTTTTCTTGGAAACCCGAAGAGAAAAATGGGTAACTAAAAAAATAAATTAATATAGTGAAAAACAGCAACAAATCACATAAAGATACAATAACTGAAAGCATACGAAACGAAATATGGGGATAGGGGGAATTGAAGCTTTGTAACTTACCTGAGAAGATGAAAGAGAGAGAGCGCTAAAACGAAACAACTTTGAGGCAGAAATCGAAAAAAGGAAGAGAGATTTTCAAGTAATTCAATTCAGGCAACTCTCTTGATCTCTGGAGAAAGAGAAAAAGGGAAGATGTTGAATCAAATGATACACTTTAAAAGTGAAAGTCGAAACATTAATCCTGGTGGTGGAGGAGATACAGGCTATATAATTCATCTAACTCCATTTTTCGCAAATATTTTGATCCACTTTTGATTCACTGTTTTAAATAGTTGAAATTTAGAATCATTGTTTTGTTTGTTTTTTTATTTAATCGTCCTTTTCCTTGTTGATCTCTTTTTTGTCAGATTTTAACTTTTTACTTAAAAATTAAAGGTAAATTGTATGATTTCATAACCGGATCGGTTAGTGAACCGGTCATACTATTGGTTTATTAATTTAACCGGTTGAATCGGTCTGATCGGTCGGAAGAACCAGACGACGTCATAATTATTTAAAAAATTAAATAAAAAATACCAAAAATATTTAATAAAAAAATAATTTTTTATATCACAAGTTATATTCGAAGCAAGTCATAATATATATAAGTTAAAAACCATAAAATCAAGTGAAACAAAATGATTCAAATTAACTACAACATAATATTTAAGGTAAAACATATTAAATAATAAATATAATTATATAACTATAATTAAAAAATAATTTTGAAGCTAAAAAAATCATAACAAAATGATATTGTTTGGTTTAATTTTTTTTAAAAAAACAATCTCACATGGCTAAGAAAGATAGAAGAGCATCCCAAAAGTCTAAAGAATAAAAATATGAGAACAAAACAATCTCACATGGCTAAGAAACATAGAAGAGCATCCCAACTAACTTCTATAAATAATAGAGTTAATTTGACATTCAAAATCATGGAGCCTTTTGGTGAGCATTGAGTGAACTATTCTTTCACTTCAATCAAGCTTGAATTTTAAGCTTCAATCAAGCTTCTAAATTTTTTTTGAGTTCAAGTTTTTTCGAGTTCAAGTTTTAATATTATATTTCGAGTTCGAGTTGAACTTGATAATTTTTAGCTCGTGAGTTTGAGTCGGGTTGAGCTTACTTTTAAAGTTTTCAAGTTCGAGTCGAGCTCAGCAATACTCGAGTTCGACTTGGCTCGTTTAACAAGCGACGTCGTTTGGTTTAATTTTTTTTATAAAAAAAACAAAATTGGTGGTTTTTTCCGGTTTTCAGCCGGTCCGGTTTGAACGGTTCAGCGGTTCCGGCCGGTTCAATAGTAACGGTTCAACCGATGTAGATTGAACTGGACTAGACAGCGGTTCCCGGTTGAACCGGCCGGTCCAGTCCGATTTTCAAAACACTGGTAAATTGTCAAAATGGTAACTTTTTTATTATTTCTATTTTTATCATTAATTTTTTTTTAAAAAATTTGATCACTTATATTATCATTTATAATATTTTGGTCACTGTAATATTAAATATTGTTGCCCATTAACTAAGTATTGACTAGACACAATAAATTACAAAATAAAATATGTCATTTACACATGGATTTATATATAAATATATATATATATATATATATATATATATATATTATTATTATTATGAAGGCGATAGGTTTTGTTCAAAATCTCTAAAACAAACCCTAAAAGCCTTCGGTGTTCTTTCGTAAAGAAAATCGAAGAAGTTGAAGAAGGAGAAAACAGATTAAAAAGAAAAGAAAAAATTATGGAAGTAGAGAGTGAAGTATCTATTTGTTGTTGCGGATAACGAGTTGGGATAGTCATTGATTATACTGATGAAAATCCATGTTTGAGATTTTTTGTGTGTAAAATTTATTGTCTGATTCTTTGCATGGTATAATATTCTTGTTATTGCTCATGTAAGAGTGGTCATTCTTACGAAAACTAAGGAAATTGAGTGGACAAGATTGATAAAATGAATTTGTTGGTTATGCATTTGATTTTATGCGTGCTAACTTTGTGGGATATGAAGTAATGTAATAGATGAGCATGATGGTGAGGATTTAGGGTTGCTTAAGGTATGATAGTTGGTTTAAGGTTCAAGGAAACAATTAATATAACATTTCTATTGTAATATAGTACATTTTATTTGTTTTTAAAAGAACCTCTAAATGTTTTATAAAGTAAACTAAGACTTGGTGAATTTTAGAAATGATTTTGTGAAATTAAAAAACTATGAAAGAACATGATTAAAAATAATTTGAGTAAAATTATTTAATATAAAGATAATATGATTGTATCATTTAATTAAAACTTTGTTATTTCCCTTTTCTTTTATACTATAATTTAAAATTAAAATAATTATTCTAAATGTCAACATCGTTTTTCACCCAGACGGGGAAAAATACCGATAACGACTCAGAGTTTTCTATTTGAAAAGATTTACCGAAATGTGAGGAGCCGCAACCAATCATTTAAGGTGAGATTAGGACACCATAAAAACCTAGTAATTTTAATAAAATATTTTATTTTTATTAAAATATCAAGTTTTGGGGTCTACGAAAATCCAAAAATCATGTTCGGGAGTCGGTTATTCGTGGGGAATGATTAACACCCCCATAAGCGCCCAAAAATTGGTACCTAGTTGGTAACCCTATATTTAAAATCAAAAATGTTGAGTTCGATCTTTATTTAATTTGAAAATAATTATGGATGCAAAGTTTGAAAAGGATATTCGTTTAAGACCGATAGCATTTTCTCCCAAGCGTAAATGCGGGAGATCAGCTATTGTGCCTAATAACCGACTATTGCCTTGTTTTTAGAAAACACAATGCAGTCTTTGAAAAGGATATCGACATATTTCAAGAATCAACAATATTCACTCCCTGATTATACTGACGGGATATATATCATTAATTCCCTAATAAGTGAACATTGTCTTAGGATTTAAAATAAAATACAATCAGACAAAATTTTATTCTTCCTAATTAAACTAAAAGTACATTATTTCGAACTTAAAGTGTCAAATTATGAGAATTAAGGAACCTAGGGGCATAAACCTAGATGTGTAGGTTCTAATATTATTCCTATTTGATTTTAATCAATTATTAAATCGAATAATTGAGATGGTCCTTCGAGCATTTACGCGAGAGCCGACTCGAATTATCCCCTAAATTAAAAGATTTGTTTGAAATCTAATCTAAAATGGAGGCTCTAATTAACCTATTTAATTATGTCGATATTAAGACTCTAATTGAAATTCGGGGACTAAAAGGTCAAGATCTAAAAAGACCGACTTCTAAAAGATCTAAAAGCTTAGGACCTAAATTGATAATTTATAAAGTTGAGGACTAAATCTAAACTAATTATTATCTAAATTATTAAACCTAGAGTTTTTAGAAAATATTAATTATTAATAAATTTTAAAAGACGAGCAATCGATTCGAGTAATTGGACATCTTATGCGAAATCTCGACTTGAATCACTCCCTGATTATTAACTAAAGTGTCGTCCTAATTTCTAAATTTGATTCGAACATTAATTTAATTTAAAACTAAATCTAATAAAATAAATTATGAAACAAAACAATTAATAATAAGCTTAATTAAAATAATTAAAACAACAAATAAAAAAATGAAAACAATAAAAAAACAACATAAAATAAAAAAAAATAAGTACAAGGGTCTAATTGCATAAAATCTAATTACATTGACTAAAATGCAAGAAAATAATAGTTAGTAACTAAATAAGAAATAAACAGTTATCAAAATGTAAGAATTAAAATAGCAGTAGCTAAATAAAAAAACTAACAGTGACTAAATTAAAATAAAACAAAACAGAATAATAAAATTGTAATAAATTAGAAACGAAAGGTCCAGTGACCAAAATGTAAAAACAAACTAAGTTTGGGGACTAAAACAATGAATTTACCAAACAATTAAAGCATGCACAACAAAAAGGTATAATAGCACCAAAACGTAAAAACACGACAAACGTTCAGGTATTTAAAACGCAATTAACCCATTAACGGCTCCTATATATGTCATTCTTCCTCTTTTTTTTTCATTTTGAACCAAAAACCCAAAAAAATTTGGGAGAGTTCTCTAAACTCTATCTCGCCTGGTTTCTGGCCAGCCCATTACTGGTCACCGATCTGCCTCTTACCGTCGTACACGACGGTCGAAAATCCCAAATCGTCCTGAAACGCTCAAAACCTCTGGATTTATTTCCCTAAAGCCAAACCGAAGTCTAAAAATCACTAAACCCCCCCCCCCCAAAAATAATGCGACACTTCAACTCCCAAACCTCCGATCATCGACGAACCAACCCTTTTTCGAAACCCCCCTCCCAGGTAAAATACTCACTCTCCTCTCTTTTTCTTTCCCTTTATTCAGTGTAAAAAATAGATCTAGATAAGTTTTTTTACTTGCTTTTTTATTCGAAAGAAATAAAAATAAAATACCTCAAAATTTATTGTTTTTGTATTACTTCTGAAAAACGGGGAGAAAAAGAGACCCCTCTCTTGTTACATGGTTCAACTTTTATAACTGCATTTTACATAGGTTTTAAAATAAAATCCTATATCTGATGAGTTCCATGCCTTCTTTTCTTTTTGATGTTTATGAGATGATGGTTGTCACAGTTGGTACAGATGGGAATAACATGGAACAGTAGCAGCAAGGACAGGCGTCGGTAGCAGCTACCTAGAGCTAGGTTTTAGAAAACCCTAATTGGGCAGGATCAGATCGAATTCGGGTCGAGTTGGATTAACTGTTGGGTCGGATCCGAGTCTAGTGGGCTGTTGAATTGGGTCGACTGGCTGCTGGCTTTGGGTCAGGTCGCTGGGTCGGTTTGTTAACTGTTGGGTCATGTTGTTGGGTAGTATGGGTTAATTGTTTGGGCTTGTAGTGGCCTATAAAAATGTAACTTGTATAATAATAATAATAATAATATTTTTTTCGAGACCCGGACAAAAAAATAGGTATTTACAATTGTCCTTCTTTACACATTCTTGTGTGAACAAGAATATGACAAAGATGAAAAATATAATCAATTTTTGTTCAGCTCTCTTTTTTGCTTGGAAATTTGATATGTTTGGGCTTGTAGTGGCCTAAAAAATGTAACTTGTATTAAAATAATAATAATAATAATAATAATATTTTTTTTGAGACTCGGAAAAAAAATAGGTGTTTACCGCTTCTCTCTTTGCACATTCTTGTGTAAACAAGAATAGAGCAAAGATGAAAAAAATAACTAATTTTTGTCCGGTTCTCTTTTTTCCTTGGAAATTTGATATATTTGTTGTTGGGGACGACCTAGAAATGCTGTTTTTGAAAGCAAAAGTTGTTTGCGTTATAGGACTTGCTGTGAAGCTGCATCAAATTCAATGTAGTATTATGGTATGTATAATTTTCTTATATAGCATCTGTTTCTTCTATTGTGTTTTTGCTTTAGTGTATCTAAACTTCTAATCTGAAAATTTTAGGAAACAATGGCGAATTTGATGACGAAGTTCAGAATGGCTTCCAATTAACCCTTCAGTGAAGGTGCTTTTCCCGTACCCTTTCAAAGTGCTTCGACCACAACAAATGAACACTCCCAAAATCCATTCGGAAACATGAATCATATGGTATCAAAGCTAGCAGATCCAACATCTCAAGGCTTGCACGGAACTGGAATTATGAGCAGAGGTTCGGCTTATGAAAAAGAGTCACCAAAATCTCCCGCTGAGACATCTTTTGGAACTCGAACAGAAAAGGTTCTTAATAGTTTTTTGCAAAATCCGATTTTGAAGGAAGATGGAACCAGGCTAAATGAACTAGTATGCAAGGTTACCTTTATGCTACATGTGCATGTGGCATGTCATTTCTATAAAATATTATGGAGGTCTATGGGTTTAATTTGCACAATATGATGCTTAGATCCATTGGTTTTACTCTAAGAGAACATCATTTCACTTCAGCAATTGAAAGAGTATCTGGGAATGGAAAGCCGCCAAAAGAACATTCTTTTAACATGTGACAAGCTGTTGCATTTGTTTTGGTTTTGTTTATCAGTGATTGCAGCTGGCGGCAGCAATAATTAACCAGTTTTGGTTGTTTTGTAGGCCGGCCGGTTACAAACAGAAAACAACATGCTTCACCTGATAATGCTCCTTATTTGGTTTTGTCCTCTGCTAAGATCATTGATTATTGGCATAAATCGACCGTAATCAGATGTGACATTTCGTGAATGTTGGACTCTAGCAGTAACCATATCTCGAAAGGATTTATTCACGGTAGATGTTGCTAGGTTACTACGCACATTTGATTCATAACGACTCAATAAGAATCGCTAGTGAAGTATGTTCATGTTTGTACTCTTCTTCTTGTTTAGAATTGTTTTAGTTTCTACTGAAATTTCTACTTTCGTTCAAGTGTTGAAGCATCAGCAAAATATTGAATAATTTATGAAGGAGAATCAGAAGCTTCATCAGATACTTATGGAAGACCTGAAAATACGACCCAGCAAGTTCCAAACCAGTTACTCGAGTAAAACAAAACCTCCTTGTTCAGAATGCTTCCATTACCGAAGGAAACAAAGGAAAAATAGACGATGATGATTATCGATTGATCTTCTGTTTCATTCGGACTCCAACAACAACTCTATTCGATTTTCTATGTACTATTCAATTGTAGGCCAACAAACCAATTCATTTCTATCTAGAAATCTCGACAGACTTGACAGAAATGGTTGTAAAAGGTTGTTTTTACTCCAACAGGACTTTCTGAAGAAATAAAGAAGATACAGACAGGAGAAGTAAATGTGTTGGTTGTTTCTTTCACTTTTTCAGTAAATGTTAAAGTAGGTATCATGTGATTTAGTCTGTGTAGCCATAACTTCCACTGGACTTGGCTCAACTTGCCATTTCTTCACTCTCTCATTATAAAACCTAAGCTTTATCCATTAACAGTACATTTCCATTAACTGAATTTTACAAAGGTTTGATGAGATAGATGGTATCTAATTCGTTGGTTGGGAAAGCATCCCATGTGCCCATCACTTATATACTGAAAATTGCTTGTCTTTTGAGTTTCCAGGTCCACTTTACAGACTATCATCCATACATTCTCATTTTCGTATATAGAATTTGTGTATTCATATATTCATATCGGGTTTAAGTTAAAGCTTTTGCTCCACTAAAAAATATCTCAAATGATCAATTAAATAGTAACTTTAATAAAAAAAATCAATATTTTGGCCCTCAGCATTTCACTTTAAAGTAAGATGTCTCTAACATTTGACTAAATAATCACTTTGGTATCTTCTTTTTTTTCTTTTTGAGTATTTAAGCAACAATATTTCATTTTAGGATAAAAATGTTATATTTTGGAGTGCTTAGACGTATCAAGTGGTTTTAGTGGTTAAAGAGAAGATTATTCTCCCTAGAGATCCTAGGTTTGAGCATCTGTATCTGCATGATGTGTGGTTTCTCACTAGGTTAAGAAAGTTTTGAACATATACTATTTTGTAATCACCCTAGACTATTACTATAGAGGAACTTTTTTGCCCAAAATGAAATATTAGAGACTAAATTGTTCTAAAAAGAACATGAACCACAATAATTATTTAACCAAGTCTTAGATTTTTTTTTTTTGAAATTATGATTAAAAAGAAATGTCAAGTTTCCCCGCTTTCTTTTCCAAAAGTTGAATTAATCTTCATCTCTCGTAGCCACCCACTAAGTCACCTTACCTTTTTCTTTCCCCAAAGGTTCATTGGCATCTCACATTAACCACCATTTACTTTGTCCATTTTATTTAGCAAAAATCATATGGATAACCTTATAATTACTTAAAGATTTAACGCTAATTATTACAGTACGGAAAACAAACAAGGTTCACAAAGTCTCCCTTTATTCACGCAAGTCAAAATGCTAAAAATCCATCGTAAATCTCCAAGTAGAAAGACCCCAACAAATCACAAATTCAGCTCCAAGAATAAACCAGAAGAGAGAATAGATGAAGCAAAAATAAATCGTACAGAAATAAATAGCTTAGTTTACATAAAGTAAACATAACAAAAGATGGAAAATTTTCAGCAAACTTGGTGTGTCCTAAGCCAAGAGTGCCACAGCTCCAAGCAACGCTAACAAGGACATGCTATATTCATACATAGAAGCAGCCAAACTCGGTGAGGACATAACCGGAGGCGTAGCCGGCGCGTTTTCGGGGGAGGAACCGGGTGATCCAGGGGGAGAAGCAATAAATGGCAAAGGAGCCATTCCCATGGGTGAAGGTGGTGAACTCATTGATGGGATTGGTGCCATTGGGGTTGATGGAGACGGTGTAGGAGCCATTGATGGGCTTGGAGTGGTCGGAACCATGGGAGGAGGGTTAGACATGGGTGACGACGTTGGAGTCGCGGCTGGCGGAGGAGCTCCGCCGGTGGAGGGTGACATCGCTGGTGATGCTAAGGGGCTTTGAGCTACCGAGTTTGATACCAAAACAACAAGAAGAGTCATCGCGGTTATAACCTGGAACTGAGTCATTGAGCTGAGCCTGGGAGAGCTGAGGTAATGAGTTGAGTGAGGAATACCGGAGAGTCCTATAAGGTTAATTATATATAGAGGCATTGAAGAATCTTTTCGAAATATATAACATTTGATTGAATAATTATTTTAATTATTTTATATTTTAACTTTAACATTTTATTTTAGAAAAAAAAGACCTTTTTGTGAATAAAAATTATTAGTTAATAAATGATTAACGTTTTTAAAAAAAAAAATTTATCCTAAAATGAAATATTAAAAGTCAATATATTCTAAAAAATAATGACTAAAATAACTATTTAGTCAATTATTAGAAATAATTTTACCCTAAAATAAAATATCAAAATTTAAATACTTAAAAAAGAATATAAATCAAAATAATCATTTTAATAAAGGTAATTCTAACATTAGGCCAAATATTAAAGTGTTAGACATTTCATTCTGCACGAGGCATTAACTGAAGCGTATCCCCCAAAGGAATTTGTGGTCTCTTTTCGGGTTTGTTGTGGAGCACTTAAGTGGGGAGACATTCACGAAAAAAAGATACGGTTCAACAAATCCAACCAAAGTTACCAAAGTTTTTTATATGTAAATCGAGATAAATATAAAATAATATTTGTTTAAATATTTTTAATTATTTAATAATAAATATTCTTATTTTATATATATAATACTGGAATTCAGAATCTCAAAGTATAACAATAATTCTTTGATTATTGAAATTACTTGGTTTTGACTTACGATTTTTTCTGTGTATAATAACAATAATAATATTAATCGAATTATTTTGTATTTAATTGATATAATTTATATAATTGATACGCTATTAACTCAATGATCTATGTTAAGCATAGAAGATAAAAGAGTGAAGAGGATAATGTTTGTTTTGATGGTTAAGAATTGTTTAAAGTCTAACATTATAGAATTTTTTTTATAAATATGTAGTAAATACAAAATAGTATCTATTTAAAAAATTTCATTTCTTTGACAAATGAAAACTCATATTTCTATATACGTGATGTTAAATATGAGACCTCAAAAAATACAATAAATCTCTTAACATTATAGAATTCTTTTATTCCAAATGAGACTTGGAATGCAATTTTTCCTTTTTTTTAGGGTTTAATAAATTACATTTAATTTGAGATGAGATGAGAATATTTGTACGTTTAAAAATAAAATAAGAAAAAGCATATTATTGGAGGTTCAAGCGTCTTCCATTTAAGATTAGATGCTTGAAGCATTGGAACCAATCACACTGCTTTTAAATAAAACCAACGCGCTATCATGACTATATCCCAACTACGTCATAAACCACAAGTGATTCATTTTAAATTTTTTTTTTGGTACAAAGTATTATATGTTCCAAGTAATCTTAATTATTTAATAATGAATGCTCAATTATCTTTGTAGTCAATGGTGCTTAAACTCATAACCTTTAAAAACAACAATGATTCTTTTAATTATTTCAATATCATATTTTTCAATTAATTATATTATTTGAGATGTTTGTTTTTCGAAAAATATTGAGATAAAGCTGGCTCACAAATCTCCTACTCATTCGATTTTTTTTAAGTTTTTTTATAAGTGGAACTCATAAAGTGGTTATGTGATTAAAGAGAATATTGTTATTCCTTAAAATATTGAATTCAAATAGTTGTGTCTGTAAGATGTGTGTAGGGGCCAAACTATACATTTATTATAGCAGGGTTAAAGTATTTTTTTTATTTTTCATAAACGCCAATTTCATTTTTTAAATTAAGGGGACATGATAAAATTTTCTTTATTTATTTTTAAAAAAAAATATATTTTTTAATATTAATTAATATTTAAAAAATAATAATTGGCGGGAACCAAAGCTCCCCTTGTCCCCCATGATATTTCGCCCTTGAGTGTGTGTATTGTCAATGATTAGTAAAGATTCTAAACATATACTATCTTATAATTAATTCATACCGTTAAAATTTGCGACTGCTGAGTATATATCACGAGAGAAAAAAAGGCATCACGAAATGAAAGAAACATCCAGCGAGAATAACGACTACATTACACTAACATGCTTTAAAGGATTGTGCGTTCATCTTTGCTGAATTCCAGATTAAATTGGTTTAACTCCTCGCATAACAAGGGCTCTTGATTAGCAGGTTCACCATGTTTTGTGCTCCCTCACTAAACTTAAAAGTTGACTAAACAAACAACAGTCATAGATGGATCCAATTATTAGTGTAATGGAGCTTATTATGCGAAGAATGTGTTTAATCAAATTGGAATTAAACCTGATTAGTCATAAAAGATAACTTTTGAACTTAGATTAAAAAAATCGAAAGTGTGATTAGCCATTGATGAAAAAAAGGGTTAAATTTTTTTATTTATTTTTCTTATTTGGACGAAAGGTTAAAGTGTCATATCACCCTTCTCTCATCTTTTTTATCTCATCTTCATTCTTCAAAAACTATAGAATTTAGACATTGCAGGGTGATCTTTGACATTCAAATCAATCATATGAAACAGAAGGAGGAAAGAATCATCATCTATATCCTATAAGCTTCAAGAAAAGTTCACAATCTCCTTCAAAGGATAATGTGAAGCTACTTAAGGGTTTTGAAGAGTTCGAACTTTGAGAAACTCTCTTGATCATTTCCATGGTGTTTACATATTCCAAACTCATATTTTCTTATTCCTCTAAGCTTTAGTTTAACTTTTAAATTCATTAGGTTCTTGTTTGATTAGTGAAAGAGGTGGGAAAACCTTCAAGTACTAGATAAAATGAGAAAGTGAATATTAATCAAAGGAATTTCATTTTGCTGTTAAGCTTAGTCTGAAATGCTTTTTGTATTTCATAAACTTTATACTACGTATGTCGGGTATTTTGAGTGTTAAGTGTGTTTTAATGATTTTGGTGATGATTTGATTTTAAGAAACCACAATTGATGTTAAATGATGATTTAAAAATTCCATAAGCCATAATAATCATGCAAGCCTTAGAAATATATATACATATATATTATATAGTTAGAGAAATTTAAAAAATTGAAACCAATTTGTATCATAATACTATAAATAATTACAATTTAATTTGTATATGAACTCGACTCAGCTCGAAAAAAAAATTCAAATTAAGTTTGAGTTATAAAATACAACTCATCAATTTGATTAACTCAATTTTTTTGACTGAAATCGATTTAACTCGATCGAATACTCACCGTTAATGATATACACACCGTCATTCAAATCCGGAGAATCATTGTTGGCATTGGAGTAGAGATTGTATTCCCGGGGTAAATATTTCTTTTGTTAACATGCCTAATTGTAATGATAACCATAAGATCATTTCCTTTAAAGTTTATGTCCATTTTCTGTACAAGTTAAACAAGGATTAAAGGTTCTGTTTTCTTTAAGTTAAGATATAGAATCTTCACTTTAAAAAGTCTTCTAAATTTCTTTAAAAAAAAGTAGAAAATGCTGCTCTAAGCCTGATTTTTTTTATTAATTTAATTTTAATGATTATAAAATAGTATTTATTCAAAAGATTTAATTATTTGACAATAAACACGCAAATATTTATATAGATGTCGTGTTCGAACTTATAACCTTTAAGATAATTGACCTTAACCATCGAAGTAATTTGATAAAAATAAAAATAAAAATAAAAATAAAAATAATATTCAAACATTATTATTTTATTTTATATTGATGTAATGATTAACCTCACGTCCCAAATTGTTATGCGTCATGATTATGGAACTATTAACTATTATAATACACGCCAAAGTTTACTTTTAAGAATAATATGTGTAAGTCAGAGTTGCCTCATATACCTTTATTTGCTTTTTCATCAATTCATATCTTACCAACCATCCATTCTAATGATACAATTTCTTTAGTATACAAAATTAAGGATAAACATTTATTTATTTATTTATTTGAAAATTTTAAAACATAAACAAAACTTTTTTTGGTTAATATATTGTTTTAATTCATTACAATATTAATTATTTTTACGGTAAAATATACAAATGATACATTGACTATAGTGTCTTACTTTGTCGAGCCCTTTAAGTATTAAAAATTATAAAATGATCCTCCAACTATAGAGCGTTGTTTTGTCGAGTCCCCTAACTATTAAAAGTTAAAAATAGTCACTGACTATTCATATGTTCCAAACTCGTCATTTTCTGTTAAAAATTAGTGGTCGACTGAGCTAGATGTAAACATGTTTACTGAGTTTTGATGAAATCTTATCTAAAAACTATTTGAGTTGTATATTGTGGATCAACTTTCTATTTATATTATGTCGACAAGTGAGCGTTTGAAAGCAACGACAGTGTCAATAGACATCATTAAAAATATAATTTTATCTTATCACAATCAATAGATTAACGTTTAGGTCAGACGGTCTTCATTTTTTAATGGAAAAGATCGAGTTTGGAACATATGAATAGTTAGGTGACCATTTTATAACTTTTAATAGTTGTGAGATTCAACAAAATAATATCCTATTAATAAGTTTATTTTTTATTTTTTAATAATTAAAGGACTCAACAAAACAACCGTACGTGTACTTTACCCTTATTTTTATTAAATGCTTACATGAAAGTTTATGGATGTATCGTTTACATGACGGGTTTCAGAAAATGAAATTGGCTTTTTCATTCCATTTTTTTACATTTAATGTGATTTTGCACTAATTTATCATTTAAAACCAACAAATCATATTTTTTAAATAAAACAAATCCATATCAAATAATGACATTGAAAACCAGTTTTTGTAATAAAAAAAGTCATATAAATATGAGTATTTACTAATTTAAATTAATTAATTAATAATATAGTCAATTGACTACTGATTTATTAGTGCATGATTTATGTTATTAAAACTTTTGCAGACATAGGTAGGGGTGTTCAAATGGGTAATTATGTTAACCGATCAAATAAAATTATCCAAATTTCATTTAACCGATTTTTTTCATTAACAGTTAATCGAATCGAACTAAGTTCAGTTAATTGATCGATTAACCGAATCAACCGAAATTTATAAATAATATATATATATATTAAATATTTAATATTTTTGTTTATTCGATTAATTTGATCGATTAATTCGGTAAAAACTGAGTCAAACACCCTAAAGCTAATATATATATATATATATATATATATATATATATATATATAATATTAAGTATTTAATAATTTCGGTTAATTCGGTAAATTAACCAATTTCAAACTGAATTAACCGAAAATAAAATTTAAAAAAAAAACCTTGAACCATTAATCGATTGAAAATTCGGTTCGATAAGTTAATTCGATTTTACCCGAACTATAACTTTTTTTCCTATACATAGGTTTTGAATTCAAACGTAACTTTTTTTCCTACTCTTATAATACTAATAACACTATAAAAATAAATATGAAAAAAATAAAATATTAATATTAAATTTCTAATTTAAATATACTGAAGACCAAAAATAAGATTTAACTTTCTTTTATTAACATTAAAGTGGCAGGTAAGAGTTTATTTTTAATTTGTGCCACGTGGATGGGTCCCATCCCCAGGTTGTTACATTAGAACCGGGTTGCACTCCATGTTATATTGACATGTGTCAACATTTATTTCCTTCCTTTCTCCTCCAAAGCAGACCTATGGTGCATAGAATCTCCCAATTACCGTCCGTTCCCCGACAAACCTCCGACCTCGGTGGCGACAAACCTCCGTCCGTGACACATGTTAGTTCATAATTCATATTGGTTTGGGTTATTAATATTAACCAAATCATTTCTCTCTCTCTCTTAAATGAAAAAAAAGGCTAAAGTAGAAATTCTATTGGAGAATTGGTTTTTAAGGCTTTTTTCTGGGTTCTGTTTGTTGAATTCATATTATCCTTTTCTTTTTGCTCTGCTTTTCCTTGAAGGTTTGTTAATGATTGTTTGTGGGTTCTGCTTTGGTTTTTTAGTTCGTCATGACTGCTGGTGACGCTAATCAGTTGATATCTGTTCAACCCAATGACCTCAAGTTCATTTGTAAGTCCCACCTTATCTATGTTCAAACTTCCATGCATGCATGATGTATGTACATCTACAGAGTCCCATTGGATATGCATATGGAAATTCATGGTTCAATTCCATGGTTACGTGATGAACTACCAAACGATTAATCTTGAGTTGAATTTGAGGTTTTGGTTGCAATGGAGATGACTCCTATTTTGATTGACTGATTTATTTCTTTATTGTTTTGATTCTTATGTTTAAAATTCTTGACTTCATTGGGGTCTTTTGATCTGTTGTTGGCAATCATTGCTGATGTTTTTCGGATTCTGACTTGTATAAATAGTTGGTGATGTAATGTTAACTTATAGTTCATTAAAAGATTCAGGGAAAATAAAGCTGTTCTGGGTGTTCTTTTTTAAGTAGCTATCTTGATTTCTGCATTTGGGAGCCTCTTTATTTCTAATGCACAACTGCTAAGATCCTTCTTAGACGTTATTATGCACATTTTTCTTTGGTATATATGTTGACTAGCATCGAAAGGTGCCTAAATTAATGCACCGAAAGGTGCATGGCCCCTTTTGTTGAAAATATAAAAAATGAGATAATTCAATTTAATCACTAAATTTTAGAGTATTTACAAATTAGTCCTTAGGTTTCAACTATAAATATCCTAGCTCATTTAGCTTCAAAATCATCCCAAAGCATTTTAGCTTTCTTCCAATACTAGAGAGATTTTAGAGAGTTTCTTGAGAGTTATTTTCTCCTTTTTATCAAGAGAGAATTATCATTGTTTTCTCCTTGGTAGATCGAGAGAGGTTGTAATTCCTATTTTCTCATAGTGAAATTCTTCTACCGTTGCCCGTGGTTTTTACCCTATATAATTTAGGGGTTTTCCACGTAAATTTTGTGTCTCTTTTATCTTCATCTTTATTTTCTCAAATTATCAGTTGCAATTTTGCTCTATCCGATAGCCATCTTCCGCAACAATTGGTATCCGAGCCAGATTAGAGTGTGTAATATATGCTTATTGTCTTTGTGGTTGCCACCAAAAGGTGGATCCTCCAACATAAGAAAGTAAGAAGTTATTACCCATTCTTTGAAGGTTCCAGAGAACTATTCACGATAGTGAAATAGTGGGAGCTATCCATAAAAGAAGCTATGGCAACGAAATTTGATATTGAAAAGTTCAATGAGAGAAATTTCTCATTGTGGAAATTAAAGATGAAGGCCATCCTGAGGAAAGACGGGTGTCTAGCGGCTATCAGTGAAAGGCCGATGGATTTTGCAGATGACAGCAAATGGATCGAAATGGACGAAAATGCTATGGCAAACTTTCATCTAGCATTAGCAGATGAAGTATTGTCAAGCATCGAGGAGAAAAAGACAGCTAAGGAGATATGAGATCATCTCACCGAACTGTACGAGGCCACATCGTTGCACAATAAAATTTTCCTTAAGAGAAAATTGTACACTCTCCGTATGCTAGAATCTACTTCAGTGACGGAGCACTTAAATACACTAAACACTTTATTTTCTCAGCTTACATCTTTAAGCTGTAAAATAGGAGAACAAGAACGTGCTGAACTTCTACTTCAAAGTTTACCGGATTCGTATGATCAACTCATCATCAACTTGACAAACAGTAATGTCACCAATCTAGTCTTCGATGACGTTGCAGCTGCTATTCTACAAGAAGAAAATCGGCGCAAGAACAAGGAAGACAGACAAGTAAATCTGCAACAAGCAGAAGCGTTGACAACGATGACAACGATGAGAGGTAGATCAACAGAACGTGGCCAAAACAGCAGTCACAAACATGGTAGATCGAAGTCGAGGAGCAAGAAGAATTTAAAGTGTTACAACTGTGGAAAGAAGGGTCATCTGAAGAAGGATTGTTGGAGTCTAAATAAAAACTCCAATCTACAAGGCAATACCGCAAACACTTCAGATGATGGAGATGCTCTATGCTGTGAAGCGTCAACCACCGTGGAATGAAGAAAACGATTTGCAGATATATGGCTCATTGATTCAGGAGCAACATATCACATGACCTCAAGAAGAGAATGGTTCCATCATTATGAACCTGTCTCAGGAGGATCTGTTTATAGTTGCAATGATCATGCCTTAGAGATCGTTGGCGTGGGAACCATCAAATTGAAGATGTATGACGGAACAATTAAAGTTGTTCGAGATGTGCGGCACGTGAAAGGCCTGAAGAAAAATTTATTATCCTACGGATTGTTGGATAATAATGCAAGCAAGATTGAAACACGGAAAGGAATCATGAAAGTGTTCCGTGGAGCGCTTGTGGTACTGAAAGGCGAAAAAATAGCTGCAAACTTGTACATGCTGAAGGGAGAGACTTTGGTAGAAGCAGAAGCCTCTGTTGCCTCATGTAGTTCAGATTCGGCAATGCTATGACATCAGAAACTTGGACACATGTCAGAACAAGGAATGAAAGTCCTTGTGGAGCAAAAGCTACTTCCAGGCTTAACAAATGTATCACTTCCTTTGTGTGAGCATTGCATAACAAGTAAGCAGCACCGGTTGAAATTCAACACATCAAATTCTAGAGGCAAAAGTGTTCTAGACTTGGTTCACTCTGACGTATGGCAAGCACCAGTAACGTCCCTAGGTGGAGCAAAATACTTTGTCTCATTTATTGATAACTACTACAGGAGATGTTGGGTGCACCCTATTAAGAAGACGTGTTTTCAACTTTCAAAAACTTCAAAGCGCGGGTGGAACTTGATTCTGGAAATAAGATCAAGTGTTTCAGAACAGATAATGGAGGAGAATACACAAGCGAAGAATTTGATGACTTTTGCAAGAAAGAAGGCATCAAAAGACAGTTCACAGTGGCGAACACTCCTCAACAAAATGGAATGGCAGAGCGGATGAACAGAACCTTGTTAGAAAGAACAAGAGCAATGTTGAGGGACGCAGGCCTAGAAAAATCATTCTGGGCAGAAGCAGTCAATACCGCCTGTTATTTGGTGAATCGAGCTCCATCAACTGCAATAGAGCTGAAGAAACCAATGGAGATGTGGACTGGTAAACCAGTTGATTATTCAAACCTCCATGTATTTGGAAGTATTGTGTACGTGATGTACAACGCCCAAGAAATTTCAAAGCTGGATCCAAAATCCATGAAATGCAAATTCTTGGGGTATGCTGATGGAGTAAAGGGGTATCGCTTGTGGGATCCCACTACCCGTAAAGTGATCATTAGCAGGGATGTTATCTTTGTAGAAGATAAACTACAAAGAAAAGAAGACGATGATAGCGCTGAAAAGTCAGAGACTACTCAGATACATGTGGAAAAAGAGTTTGAAGAAGGAGATTCTTCTGAAGCAGAAACAACACATGATGAACAAGTACCAGAGAGTTCTGAAGCTCCAACAACTCGTCAATCAGATCGTGTGAGAAGACGTCTCAATTGGCACTCGGATTATGTTATAGAAGGTAATATTGCATACTGCCTTTTAACAGAGGACGGTGAGCCATCAACATACCAGGAGGCAATAAACAGCTCAGATGCTTCACTGTGGATGATGGCAATGCAAGAAGAAATCGAAGCCCTTCATAAAAATAATACATGGGACCTTGTGCCACTACCACAAGGAAGGAAGCCAATTGGTAACAAATGGGTCTTCAAAATCAAGCGAAATGGTGACGATCAAGTTGAGAGGTATCGTGCAAGACTGGTGGTCAAAGGATATGCTCAAAAGGAAGGTATTGATTTCAATGAAATATTTTTCTCCTGTGGTTCGACTAACAACAATTCGAGTAGTTTTGGCAATGTGTGCTACATTGGACTTACATCTAGAGCAGCTAGATGTTAAAACAACTTTTCTTCATGGAAATCTTGAAGAAGAGATTTATATGCTCCAACCTGAAGGTTTTGAAGAAGACGAAAAGAAGAACTTGGTTTGCAGGTTGAACAAATCTTTGTACGGTCTAAAGCAGGCGCCAAGGTGTTGGTATAAGAGATTTGATTCCTTCATTATGTGCCTTGGATACAACAGACTTAATGCAGACCCTTGTGCTTATTTCAAGAGGTCTGGTGATAACGATTTTGTTATATTGTTGTTGTATGTAGATGACATGTTGGTTGCAGGACCCAAAAAAGATCATATTGAAGAATTGAAGGCACAACTGGCTAGGGAATTTGAAATGAAGGACTTGGGATCATCAAACAATATTCTAGGGATGCAAATTCACCGAGACAGAAGTAATAGGAAGATTTGGCTTTCACAAAAGAATTACTTGAAGAAAATCTTGTCACGATTCAACATGCAAGATTGTAAGCCAATTTCTACCCCTCTTTCTATTAACTTCAAATTATCCTCCAGTATGAGTCCTAGCAGTGAAGAAGAGAGGATGGAGATGTCTCGAGTACCGTATGCATCAGCAGTGGGAAGTTTAATGTTCGCTATGATATGCACAAGACCAGACATTGCACAAGCAGTGGGAGTGGTTAGTCGATACATGGAGAATCCAGGCAAAGAGCATTGGAATACAGTAAAGAGGATCCTAAGATACATCAAAGGGACCTCAAATATTGCATTATGTTACGGAGGATCAAACTTACTAATTAATGGGTATGTAGATTCTGACTATACAGGGGATTTGGATAAAAGCAAATCTACTACAGGATATGTGTTCAAAGTTGCTGGTGGAGCTGTAAGCTGGGTTTCAAAATTGCAGTCAGTTGTGGCTACGTCCACAACAGAGGCAGAATATGTAGCAGCTACACAAGCCAGTAAAGAAGCAATTTGGTTGAAAATGCTATTGGAGGAGCTTGGGCACAATCAAGAGTTTGTCTCTTTGTTTTGTGACAGTCAAAGTGCCTTGCATCTAGCAAGGAATCCAGCATTTCATTCAAGGACAAAGCACATACGAGTTCAATACCATTTCATTCGTGAAAAGGTGGAAGAAGGGACGGTAGATATGCAGAAGATCCATACCAAAGACAATATAGCAGATTTCATGACGAAAGCAATCAACGCTGATAAATTTAGCTGGTGTCGATCCTCTTGTGGCCTGACAGAAACGTAAGCAACATGATGGTACAAGGTAGAAAGAATGGTGTGAAGATATGATTGTTCCAATCAAATCTTCAAGTGGGAGATTGTTGACTAGCACCGAAAGGTGCCTAAATTAATGCACTGAAAGGTGTATGGCCCCTTTTGTTGAAAATATAAAAAATGGGATAATTCAATTTAGTCACTAAATTTTAGGGTATTTACAAATTAGTCCTTATGTTTCAACTATAAATATCCTAGCTCATTTAGCTTCAAAATCATCCCAAAGCATTCTAGCTTTCTTCCAATACTAGAGAGATTTTATAGAGTTTCTTGAGAGTTATTTTCTCCTTTTTATCAAGAGAGAATTATCATTGTTTTCTCCTTGGTAGATCGAGAGAGGTTGTAATTCCTATTTTCTCATAGTGAAATTCTTCTACCGTTGCCCGTGGTTTTTACCCTATATAATTTAGGGGTTTTCCACGTAAATTTTGTGTCTCTTTTATCTTCATCTTTATTTTCTCAAATTATCAGTTGCAATTTTGCTCTATCCGATAGCCGTCTTCCGCAACAATATATATATATATATATATATATATATATATATATATATATATATATATATATATTTGTTAAACAGGTTTTAGTTTACTTTTGTTCATGTGATTCATGTTTTCAGTTGAGCTGGACAAGCCAAGTTTTTGTAATCTTCAATTGACGAACAACACGGATGACCATGTGGCATTTAAGGTACCATTTCTGTCATTGTTGCATATGTGCATGAATATCTTGTTACGTGTATGTGTAATTCTTCTTCCATTCTGTGATTCTCAGTATTTGATTGTTTGATTTTAATGTTCCCAACTTGTTATCATGTCAGGTTAAAACAACTTCACCTAAGAAGTACTTTGTGCGACCGAACACCGGTGTTGTAATGCCTCGGGACTCATGTATCATAAGAGGTATTGCTTTTGATCCCACAAACCATTTCATTTCTCGTAAATAAATTTACGACAGCGTTCACTTCTCGTAAATAAATTTACGACAGCAGTACATTTCCCGGTTAGTTCATTGGGATGACCTTATGTATGATATCGGTTTCATTGACCTATCAGTCACTCTCCAAGCCCAAAGGGAATGTCCTCCTGATATGCAATGCAAGGACAAATTTCTGCTGCAGAGTACTATAGTGCCTCCAAATACCGACGTGGAAGATCTACCGGCAGATACTGTAAGAATCTTACATGGAGATTAATGTTTTCATTTGACTACCTGTATGATACTGTCTTAAATAAATTTGGTTTTCGGAATGCGATCTGTCTTTACTTCCAGTTTAACAAGGATGGTACTAAGGAGATAAAGGAGCACAAGCTTAAAGTTTTCTATGAATCTCCTTCGGGTCAAGCAAATTCAGAAGATGGAGGGTTAAAGAGCTTCGAATCACAAACCCCTGATGCAAACTCTGTGAGTCTTGTTGGTGATATGCTCTTTATTTCTTGGAGGGGGATTAGGGTGTATTTTGTTTGTTTATGGAAATAAATATTATGTTACAATTGCTTAGTCTCACAACATATGCACACATCCTATCTTTGAGGTTTCAAGTAAAGGTTCGATTGAGGCTTTTTTTCTACCTTTCATGATATTTTCTGGTGTTGTTAACTTGAAAACTCAAACCCTGTGTCCGATTTCCATGTCTTCATTCCTAAATTTCCTTTCTTTGTTCATTGAAATCAGACCATACAGCACCTTAAGGATGAAAGAAATGCCGCAGTTCGGCAAACAGTGCAGCTGCAACAAGAAGTGGTACGTTTTTTCCTTCTGATATTGTGGTCTTAATTTCAATCACAAGTTGATGAGCCTATAATAAGCTCGAAAACAGACATGCGCACTCTGATACACAAATACAGGGAAGATGATAAGAGAAATCCAGCTGTCGTAATATGGAATTTCAAGGTTTTGCTATGTTAGTTTGTCCCTAATGTAAAAAGTGCGAATAAATCATAGAACTTTTCAATCCATCCATGCTGTTATGGTGTCATACAACTCATTTTACAGCCATTATCGATAAGTAAAACAATCTTGTTTTCCCTCAACAGGATTTTCTGAAGAGGCAAAGAAAACGTAGGAACAACACCGGCTTCTCCTTCATGTTTGCATCCTTTGTGGGACTGATAGGGATAATGGTCGGTTTTCTGTTAAATCTTTCAATGGCTTCACCGTCGACGGAATGAATATATGAGTGTAGTGGGAACCGGTGATTTTGTTCATTGTATAATGCAGAATGTTAATGTTCTGCTTGATGGAGTCTTCCCATTTCCTTTCCTTTCTGTATATTTGATCTTTCCGCATAGCACATGTCTTTGATCAGCTGCAATTTTTTTAATATGTTTTCATTCAATCCATAATTTGAAATGACTTAAGAGTAATGTTCTCAGTAAAAAAGCACATGATCATCCGTAAAAAAGTGAGATTTTAGTTTCCTTGCGAACAACTTGTACTGGTATCCATTTCCTCCTATCAACCGCGCTCTGGATAGCAATGGAATGATGGATGATGGATCACCATGACGAATTCCTCTAGATGGCTTAAACGAGGTCAATATTCAGTTTCGTTTATCTAACATTTTTTCTTTCAAAATCATATATAACATCATATTTTGATTTCATTTAGGTTACTCGTTTAAAAAAAAAAGTAAATATAACTTTTAATGTGATATTTTTTAATTTTTAATAATGATATGACATTATCTTATGATAACATTATATATAATTTTAAAAATATTTGAATGATCAAAAAATTATAAAATTATATGTGTGACTAAATACGTAATTAACTCTATAATTTATTTATAATTCTTTAAAAAATTATTTTGAATTGACGTCAACAAAGCTGAAAAGTCTACTCAACAACACATATGCAATATATTCTCTATATTCTAATTACAAAACGTGACTATATATATATTATATAAAAATACAACATTGAAATCCTTTAATTGATAAAAAATAATTATTATTTGTGATAAAATATTTATTATTATTTTTTTTATTATAGATATTTTTACAAGAAGTTTGCTTTAATAAAAAAGTAATTTATCTCAAAAAATTATTTTTTAACCTTTAAAATAAAATTAATTAATTTTATACAAATAGGGTTCAACATTTAATTTGGATTAGAAAGATTTTAATTCGACCTTCAATAGGATTAAATTTTTTTAAAAAAATATTATTTTGGGTAAAGTCATGTATTATTCAAGGATAAAGACATGTTAGGTTTGAGTTTAAACTAATCAATATGAGAATAATAATTTAATTCATATTTATATATTTAGATATAATTATTATAATATTTTATTATTTATATATTTTCAATTAAATCCTTATTTTATCTAATAAAAATAAGAATTTTATATGTTTATATCGGGTTTAGATAATATATTTTACCCAAGAAGTCACATCAAATTTTGAGACGGATAAAATTTCTCTAAATCTAAGTCGAATTAAATGTCGAATGAAGAAATATTATACTCAAATTGAGTCCGAATAAACTAAAACTTAACCTAATCCATGATCATCCCTGTATACAAATGAATAATAAAAAATTATCACCACAAATTGTTTTTAAATATAAAAATAAAATTATAAATATAATTTATGTATTTATTAATTATATTTTGAAGATAAATAAATTTACCTACATTAGTGATAACAAATAATATCATAAAAAAAAATGCACACAAACACAAAACACACTTGACACTGCTATCTCTTTTCCTTTTTTATTTTTCTTTCCCATTTAACCTCTCTCTTTTCACAGCCATTTATTAGATTCCTCTCAATAGTCGTCGTCTTCTTCTTCTTCTTCTTTTAATAATATTTTCTTTCCATTGGATTGTACAAATCCTAAGCTGAGATACCCATCTCTAAAATCTTTCGTTTCTTCTTGTTTTTTTCTCTTATGTTTATTGGACTGGTAGAAGGACAAAAAAGCTCTTCTGAGTTTTTTTCATTTTGGGGTCTACTGCTTTGTTCTGCAAACTAAATTAGCTTTCTGGGTTGTTGCAGAAAAGCCTTTAATACCCAGTTGAATATGTCATATAAAGGTTGAAGAAATCAATCATATTTGTATAAAAACTTTTCAATTTTTAGTAAAAAAATTTTGTCAATAAATAAAAAAAAAATTCCTCTTTTGTTTTTTTTTCACATTTTTTCTTTTAATTTATTTCTCTTCCCTTGAGCAAAAGAGAAGGATATGGGCAAGCAAGGTCCTTGCTATCACTGTGGAGTTACACGTGAGTTATTGTTTCTCCAGTTAACTTGTTCTATATAAAGCTTTAGAAAGAGGGAAAAAACTGAATTTTGAGTTCTGGGATGTGTGTAAATGTAAACCTTTTTCCCTTAGTATTTTTTGTGTATGATTTTATATCTGCTTGGATGCATACATATTTCTATCGTTGGAATTTGGGAGCGGAAGAACGGTATGCAGAAACAGATTAAACAAAATATATGGACAATGATAATAAATTTTAGGACATGTTATGTTCTTTGTGTTATTCTGTTTGTATATGGATTTAGAAAACAGGTGTTTTTTTTCTCAGTTCATTTAAAGCTTTGAACTTGAATTTGGTATTGAATTCAGTAGTATCTTTCAACCTCATTTTCTCAGCCTTATACATCTCTTGGGGTTAGTCTTCTTTGAGTATTGTTCAAATTTCCATCGTATCTCGCAAAGGAAAATGAGATTGAATTTCATTGGATACTGGGGTATTGCATATGTTGTTGAATTATTGGCAGTTTGGGATTCAACATTTGATTGGTATTGGTTTCCCTTGCTCCATTGATGTTTATAAGCTTAAATGTCAAGTCAAACCTCATTTCTGTTCTATTCAATTGAATTGAATGTTTTTCCTTGCAACATCATTGTTTTGATCCTTTAGTGGTGCACTTGCCATGAGTTGGTAAATAAGCTCTGCTTTAAAATTCAGTGTCAAAGAGGAAAGCACTCTAATGCTTATTCTAAGCCTTTTCTTTCGTTCTTTGTTGATAAGAATTGTTCACCTCCAATTGACTCCAATACAAATGTGAAACATTTTTCAAGAATTGCGTTCAATTCTATTTTGAAGTTAATCTTGTTGACTATTTAGCCTTTAAGCAATTCAATCTCGTAAGTATCATTTTCATTTAAACACTCTGAATGACTTCTAAGTGTTAAATTTATTGCACCATTTATAAAATACTCGAAGTGTTTTATAATATTTGAACTTAGCTTGTCTGCACCAATTACTGTAATAGAACTATTTTGTTGAATTCTAATTTTGCTTGTCATTCTTACAAGTGTTAAATTATTTCAAGTAAAAGTTTTAAGGGAAGCACCAATAATCCTTGTTGGCTGTGGTGTAGGCAATCTTTTTTGATTAAATGCAAGTTTCTCTTAACTTCCATTCTTACTCTAGTCTGTCTTTGATAGGCTAGAGATGTTTGTCTTTGAACTTGGCTAACAATATGCTGAACTCTTTTATGCACTCTTTTGTCTTCTGTTGTGATGTTGTCCCTTTAAATATCTATAAAATCTGGCAAATGTCTCTTGTGGTTAGAAGAGCCACAAGTATATCACAGTCCTTAATGTGTATAAACTTACTGACAACACTGCATTGTGATAGGCACTCCTCTTTGGCGCAACGGACCTCCTGAGAAGCCAGTGTTGTGTAATGCATGTGGATCGCGGTGGAGGACTAAAGGGACACTTGCAAAATATACCCCACTTCATGCTCGTCCTGAACCTGAGGAGAGTAGGGCCAGAGTGAAGAGCATATCTATAAATAAGAACAAAGTAAAACTACTGAAAAGAAAACCAAATCATGACACAGCCATTATTTCCCCTGATTACAACCTAGGTTTCCGTAAATTTGTGGACGAAGATACTAGTAACAGATCAAGTTCTGGATCAGCCATATCTAATTCTGAAAGCTGTGCTCAATTTGGCAGTGTAGATGCTAGTGACTTAACAGGTTGGACATGATACCATCAGTGTTCCACATCACTAACTGTGTGGGATTAAATTGCAATTTTTTAGTCATTAAAGGGTCAGATACTGATATTCAATGGAAATTCTCATTCTATCTTCTGAACTCATTGGAGATTCATGGCATTATCGAATGATTCTGGATATGTTATATATCTTCCTAGAATTCAAGTGTTATGGTTTAACACTAAACGATTCACAATGAACAACAGAAGAAAAAAAGTTTTCATTTCTTTGAGATATTTGAATTGAAAGTCTAGTTTTCAGTGGAAACAATGTATTGACATGATTCAGACTAATTGTTAAATTTTATGCTTAGCGTTCTTATTGGTGTTTTAATCCCCATCGTCGGGTTTTATCTTCATTCCAACTTAATCTTGACTAATGCAAGTCAATTCATTTAGCTACATGTTTACAGTTTTAAAATTTTGTGGAATATTGGTTTAAGATGTCTTCTTTCTATCTTTCTCCAGGGCCTGCTCAATCTAATGTGTGGGACTCAATGGTATCTTCTAAGAAAAGAACATGTGTAAATCGTCCAAAGCCATCACCAGTTGAGAAACTTACAAAAGATCTGTATACTATTTTACATGAACAACGACAGTCTTCATATTTCTCTGGATCTTTTGAGGAGGACTTGCTTCTCGAGAGTGAAACTCCCATGGTTTCTATTGAGATTGGGCATGGAAGTATTCTGATTAGGCATCCGAGCTCAATAGCTCGAGAAGAGGAATCAGAAGTTAGCTCCCTCTCATTTGATAACAAACAATATTCAATGAATGAGGCTTATTCACATTTATTAAACTTCCCTGCATATAATGATAGAAAGAGCATAAATTTTTTGGGACATGGAATTGAAAAGGCAAAGAACCCTGCTGGACAAGGGATGCTGCATGAGCAAGTTAAGAGGTAAAACTTTTACTTTTTATATGTTGCTTTACAAGGTTGCAACAGAATCTACCGCTTATGAAGCTAGCATTGGTGCAGACCATGTGATCTTTTTTTACTGAAAATTTACCATGGCCACTCAGAAAGGTTAAGATAAATGTATAGTATATTTCTTACAGCAATGTGAGACATGGAACTTATCTCGAAAGCTCAACGTAGTAATATCCTTATCCCTACAGTTTTTTCAGGAAGAAAATTTAGTCATCACGACTCACGGCCTCATGGGCCATTACATAAAGCAAATAGATGCTGTGAATGTGAGGAGATATGGGAGAATGGTGCTTTCATATTGATTAATATATCATTTCTTTTCCTTTCTGACATTTGACAGAGACAAGGCTCCATACGAAAAAACCCTAATGCTGGAAAGTCATAATTCACCACTTTGTAACATAGATTTGAGTGTAAGTTCCCTTGTTTCATTTTCTTTATTTGTTTCTCTGAGGGAAAGTTCTTTAGACCTCAACTTCACCGCTTCTATGTTAAAACTCTCAATTGAGAACTCAGAACCATTAAGCTTGATTACATTTAATGATTTCGGATGTTCGAAAATCTTTCACATAACTCTTCCATCTTAAGGAAGGGTTGAGTTACCATGAACAATTTGCACCGCCGCACATATTCTTTCTCAATTATGTGATGATATTTTTTTGTGATATAGGATATTATCAACATTGAGGAGTTTGTCAAGCATTTGACAAAAGATGAACAGCAGCAATTACTGCGGTATCTACCTCCACTTGACATTTCCAAACTCCCCGAGAGGTACCCTTTTTGACTCTTTCTCCAAGAATATTTTTTTTATGTTTTGTGTGTAATGTAAAGCATTTTGGGTAATAATAGTAGTTTGATAGTATCTGATGCACATATAGTGGAAATCAGGTATTTGAGGAAAATAAAAAGAGAAAAACCAGCAGCGGTTATTATTCATTTAAAGAGATGAGAATAATTGAAATATGATATGGAAAATGGACTTGCTGATAGTTTTCTTTGCATCTGCAGCCTCAAATGCATGTTTGAAAGCCCTCAATTCAAGGATAACTTATGTTACTTTCAGCAACTGCTCGAGGAAGGTTTCTTTGACATCTCTGTTTCTGGGGTGAAAGCTGAAGATTGTAAGACTTTAAAGAGATTTGCATTATTCAATTTGACGAAATCTCACTGGGTGGAATTTCGTCATGGACTCAAGGTTTGAATTGGTTATATTTAGTGGTGACACCTTGACATGAACCTATCATGCTCATTGGATGCATAAAAGCATTTCTTTGGCTGCAGAAATGTAAAAGTAGCGTTGGAGGGTCGGTTGTTGCTAGAGGACCAAACGCCATAACATTGAATAATTCGGTCGCTATGAAGAGATCACGGAACAGTCAAATTCCAGGTTAGAAAATTTTCTCTGCTAGGATTGCACTGCATGAAACTCTTTTTTGGCCCAAGCAATGTGTGAAATAGATCCTGTTAAATTATATTGATGACTTGATAGTAACATTGAATGTGAGTGAAAATAACCCAGATGAGCTTTTATGATAAAAGGAACGTAACAAGAATAGTTAATAATCTGGATGAAAGGAATATAATTGCAAACATGAAACATTACGAAGAAAAATTCTGTAACTAAATAAATTTCATCTTTGAGTGCTATTCTTGTGAGCTGTTTGAATTATCATGAGTTACACTGGCATTTTGTTAAAGAAAAAACTTGTTTTTCGTTTTTCAGATGAAAGGACATTAAAGAGTCCAAAGAGAGTGACCGTGAAGGCTACCTACGGAAACAAAGAACACAGAGAAAATGACGACTCTTGCTTTTGCCCCAGAAGCCTGTTTGCATTGCCTCCGGATGGTAGCTCTCTCATGCTGGACTCTCTCCATTTTGTTGATGAATGTTCAGACCAAGATTTGCTGTTGGATGTGCCACACAATGGCTCATTCCCACAGGCAGAACTGCTTCATCCTACTTCAAGTTTAGGGCAACGGGCAAGCACTAGTAGTAACTCGCTGCACCCACATCTTGTCCATCCCTACTGATGGGTTGTTAATTACTAGAGCTATAAAGTTATGTTCCTTCTGCAAGATCCCGTGATCGGGGTGGACATATTTTGCATGCCGAAAACCGAAGTCTGTGGATGAGGTTTGATGGTTGCTGTTTCTTTGCCCTTGACTTATCAAACTTGGAATGCTAAGGGATGAATTTTGAGGTGGGTATTTTTGTATAGCTTCACAATAGATTTGTAATAGAGATCTCAAAAAAGGCAGAAGAGGTAGTAATTTCCAGAGTTTTGTACGCAGATGTAGTTTTTGCATAGAAACATAATTTTACGTACCTCCCTGCCCGGTTTCCGGCTTATCCCAGAGTGAGTGGGGAAAGAAAAATGGAATAAAAGGAAATTAGCTTTCATGGGATGCATGCTAAGGAATTACCATCTGCCCTTTCTTTTTTTTTTATCCTTGCATATATAATTTGATTCAAGGAATCTAATAAAAAAAAAAGTGGTAATAAATCCGTCATCATTGAAGGGAGGGTTTTACTTGGATGCCACTCTTGGCTTGAATAGGATTATTCTTACATTGTAGGCTTAATAAGAAAATAAGTTCCTAAACTATATTGTATTTTTATTTAGATGTTTAAATTTCTCATGGTTGAATGTCTTTGAGAAAAATAATTGTTGTTCATTCGCATCTAAATCTTCAGTAAAATTTAAAACATAAACAACTGAATCAAACTTTGTGTATCCCTATGAAAGTCTAATTTGTCGTATAGACTTGTCTCTAGCAATAAAAAGTTGTGGAGCTTGCTGGGTAGCTCCATTCTGGGGTTCATGAACTAGATCGAAGAGTAGAATTTGTTGGCTTCACTTGTATGTTCCATTTCTGCTCATCTTTATTAATAAAATTTTTAAGAGCTGATTTACACAGCACAGTCGTTTCTTCGGACAACATCTTTGTTTCATCAAAGTAAGTTTTCTACTATTAATCAAAATAAAAGAAGATGAATTTCATACTTTCAATCAAACTATATTTTTTACTTTCTCCAATTATCTCTTATTTTTTATATCTTCGTTAATTTATTTTTGTCGTATCAAATTCGGTTTACACATTAACAAACCATTTTAAATTGAACTTGGTTAAATTAATGCATAAAATTAATTATTTTTTGAATTAGTTAAATTTAAAATGATTCGAATTTTATTTGAATTTAAACCTGCATTAATTTGATTGAATTCCCCTCACCTGTGTCTGTTAACTCCTTTCCTCGCTCCCGTAATCAAAACCTAGGTCTTAAAAATTCAACCCATCTTTTCCTATAAATTCACGATTTTGTTAATTTTCAAGCTCTGATTGAATCGGACTAACATTCTTCAAGCTCCATCTATTCAACGATTTATATGATATCGTCGGTATTCCTCTCTCTCTTGGAGCACCCGAACCTATACCGGGGGATTCAAAATCTAAACTTTTCCATCTTTCGGAGGATGATCAATTTGGGAAATATTCTTCTTGAAACGTTCGGTCGGGGTTTGAATTAGCTTCAATCATCAGCGTCAAATTAACCGCTTTCCTGCTGTCCCCACACTCATCATCAACGGCCACGGTTTCTACTTTCTCCCATCAACCCATTGCCGATCATTCGCTCATTGTTGCAGTTGTGGAAGCGGGTGGAGGAGGGATACACGAGTCATTTTGTAACTCATCTGGCAGCTACTCTGGAGAAGAAACCATATGATTCTAGCAGGAGCAATCGGGATATCGGTCGATATCCACCAGCCGCCAAAATAAGAGCAGCGAAGTAAACGGAACATCTTAGAAGATGACACGTGACAGATCTTTATTATGAACCAAACAGATCGTCTGGTTCTCTCACTGTTCCGAATGAGAAAAAGCGAGCCCTTTAGAATGATCATACAAACTTATTTGTCTTTTTCTATAACTTTTTCTTTTGTTTAATAGGTTTCCCGCCTTTTTTTATTAGCATTGACATTGACCGTTTGATGATGTAATATAATAGACTTTTGATAGAAGGGCAAATTATATAAGGAAAAACTACATGTTTAATACCTAAACTATTACTTTTGTTCCGTTTAGTACTTAATTTTTTTTCAAAATCAAACCTAATATTTAGTTTAAGTTTCAATTTAATACCCGTCGTTAAAAACTTAACGACATCGATAACATGAAATTTTCATTACAAGATGCGTGAAATATCAAAAAAGGGAAAATAATTTAACATCATCATTACCACAGTTTTTAATGGCGGAATATCAAATTAAAGCATAAACTAAATATGAGGTATGATTTTGAAATAAAATAAAATTTAAGTACTAAAAGAATAAAAGTGATAGTTTAAATATCAAATGTATAATTTACTAAAATAGAAATAAACAAAGTAGTATATGTTTTAAGTTCTTTCAACTATTTGACAATGAACGCTCAATCACCCTTTCAATCGTTGGTGCTCGAACACATAACTTCTAGAAATAATAAAGATTTCTTTAACCATTGAGTTAAATTGGTTCGTGCACGTTATATAATTTTAAAAAGCCCAAAATAGAAACTTATTTTTGGCGACTTTTGGTTTACTAGATTTGAAAATATATTTTTGATGCTTTAATTTTGTTATTATTAATTTTATTTTTTAGTAAAATTACTAATACAGTAGAAAATATGTTAGTAGGTTGACGTGGAATTCAAACAAAAAAATTTCCCTTTACGAGATTGAGCTACAAATTTCTCTGAAATGACAAACTACTCTTTCAATAATCATAACTTTTAAATGACGGATAAATTATATGGATGATACTTAACTATAAAAAGATTTTAATATAATTATTGACTTATTAATATTTTAATAATATTATTTAAGTGATGTTAATCAAATTATTTATAAATTAGAGTTAACATTTGATAGAATAGTTGATGTGATAGTTAAAAAAATTATATATTTATAATTTTCTACTATTAATTTGGTCTTATTTTTAATTTAATTTAATGAATTGATAGAATGTATAAGTAATGAGGACTGCATGTATAATTTTATTAATTTTTTAAAATGTTGTGTCAGATCTACCGTTAAATATTAACTATAAATAGCTTGATTGATATTATTTAAATAATTAAATGATCTAAATGAAAAATTTCTAAATCACTTATCATATTAAAATTGTAAATAATTAAGCGATGATAAATATAGTTTAACATTAAATGAGATAAGTTTAATGTCATATTTTAAAAATAGAATTCTAGTGAAGCTGATTAATAATTTTTTAAATTAAAACAGAAATTAATAGTAATAGTAATAGAAATAGAAATTAATAGATCAAATAAAAATACAAAAGATTAAAACCGGAGATATAACAAAAGAAATGGGCCGTTGTTGTATACAAATTGTAAAGATCTTACCGATACACATTTGAGTTTAAAGGCCCAACAGGTTTCCAACTAAATCATGAGATCGCGATCTTCTATATATATATATATATACAGAACAGAAAAGAAAAATGGTATTTGTAAGCAAGATAATTTAGCAGCGAAGAAGCAGATATGGATTTTAGTGTTCTCAACGAAGCCCTGGCCTCCAAATCCTTCGATAAGGTCGCCGATATATGCGACGCTCTCATGCTTCAGGTTCCATTTTCTTTAATTTCCTTTTAAAATCCCCAAATCCTATGATACAAGCCTTAAATCGAATTTCTGAAATACAAGCTTTGCTTTATGTTGGAAAAAAAAACACTAATGATAAAACCAGGTAGCAGCGGAGGGCGTTCCTTTTCGAGACGAATGGCCTTTTGCAGTTCATCTTTTGGGTCACATCTATGTTGATGATGTGTAAACTTCTTTTATTTTTCTTTCTTTCTGTGTTTGATTACTTAATTTATATTTTTGGGAATATGTGATTTTAGTTTCTTTTTCAAAATTTTAGTTTGTGTTTTTGTTGGATTTCAATAATACATAGACTTGTGTAGGTTTTTTGATACTTGGATGTGGATGGTTTTGCAGTAATAGTGCGAGGTTTCTTTGGAAATCAATACCTGCTACAATCAAGGAGAGCCAACCGGAGTTGGTTGCGGCCTGGAAAATAGGTCAAAAGCTGTGGACAAGGGACTATGCCGGTGTCTACGAGGCTATTCGCGGCTTCGATTGGACTCAACAAACACAAGTTCTTGTTGCTGCTTTCTCAGGCAAAGCTTTCTCTAATCATAGTTTTCACAGTAATTTAAGTAATTGTGTGTGTGTGTGAAAGATGAACCGAACCCTGAAGTAAGTGATTTTGAAGGAAATCCATATTCGTTAATTCAGATGTTATGGCATAAAATAGTAACGAAATCATGTAAAATCTTGCAACTTCATATCGTAGAATAAAGATTTAGGTAATGTAGTATTTGAGGGAATTATTTTATGTCTTTTTTGTAGAGCTATACACTAAGAGGATGTTTGAGCTGCTGCAATCTGCTTATTCAACTATAAGCATCCAAGATGCGGCTCAGTTTCTTGGAATGAGTGAGGAAGATGCCACAAATTGTAAGTATGCACATTTTTTATCATGTTTATGATATAAAGTTTCTACTATTTTACTAATTTTTAGATGTTTTGCTTAAGCTTCTTTTATTAGCCAAGTATCCTTGTAGTGTAAAGAGAAACATATATTATCTGAGAGGACGACTTATGGATGTAATTTAGGCTTAGAATTCCACGTTTTGGCCTATGGAGACCTTGGCTGGAATCCCAGCAGCCCCACTAAACACTAAAAATCTGAAAGAAAAATAGGTAGTAGAAAGAGACTGCCTTAGTACAGGCTGGGGACATGTCTGGTTTATATAATAAATCGGTGACGACAATGTCAAAAGCATCTGCTCCTTATGGATTTATTAGAAATCGACATCTTTAGGCCTTGAAACTTTTGCCTTTCAAATGCTCCCGAAACGTGCAAATGCTTGAGACTCTCAAACATTGTGGCAAAGGAGAGCTATCTTTTTCAGCCCCCCTCTTCGTTTTATGAAAAAAAAGATTGATGGCTTTAAAAGCCATTGAAAAGCAATAACTTGTGCTGTTTACAGGGTTAATCTAGGCTAGGAAAGTGATAATCATTTGGATTTCCATTCAAGTCCAGTTATGCTGATAGTTTAAGTACTATTAACTTTCCACACACTCAAGATGGTTAGCCAGGTCGGAAATTACGGTGTTATGGTTTATGTGATTAGTAGGCCATAGATTTTTTTCTAAAAAAGAGGATTATAAACTCTGCAAGGTTTCTCCGAGCCTCCGATAGACTATTTTGAGGGTTGTTTTAGCTTCCGTTGGAGTTGTTTACTTAATGCTTACTAGGTTTTCCGAGCATCCAATAGACTCTTATGAGGATTGTTTGAGCTGATTCTGGTTGTCACATGCAGATGTACTCCGGCAAGGATGGGCAGTCGATCCTACTTCTCGAATGCTAACTGTGACGAAACAAGCTGTCGTGAAAGGGCAGAAATTAGACCCTGGCAAATTGCAGCGACTGACAGAATACGTCTTCCACCTTGAACATTAAATCATACTTATGACCTCCGAGTTTCGACTGTTTTGTTGAATTTGAATTCTTTAAGCAAGTTTATGCTTCTAATCTTTATGAGAATTTCGGGAGCTTCTTATAACTTCATACATATTTGATGCCTTACTTTTTGTTTTTTATGTTTTGAACAGTTTCAGTGAATAATCATGCAGCAAATGTTTGAGCACTTGATGTCTTACAAACTCGCAAGGAATTATAATTAAGAAAGGTCAAATTATTGTCTGTTTATTGTGCGTAATTAATCCTTATATTTTCAATATTTAAGAAAATAATCTTTAAATTTATTAAGTTAAATTCTATTAGGAGTCCGTGTACCATTTTAAGATGTAGAGTTGGTTACTGTGTCCAAGATCAGTTCCAATAATTCAGTCATTTGATCGGTTTATGTAATGATAATTTAGTTCTATTGTTTTTCATCGTGTGGTTAGAATTTAAATTTCAAAAATTGGAAAGTACTTGAAAATTGATAAAATTAAAATATAAGAATTGATTTACAGTTTACCTACAGAACATGATCCAGGGCCTAATGAAAGCATCAGCATTAAGAAATCCTATTGCATAGCACTAAAAATATTCCTTATCGTTTGTGGATTGTTGTTATCCCTTGAGGTTTTAAGTTTGAATACCGTGTATGTAGGGTATAAATATTTATTGTCAACTACAAGGTATGAATATTTATTATCAAATAATTGAGAATCTTTAAACGTATATTATCTTGTATTTATCATATAATTATAAAAAAATGATAATAAGATAACAGTTTATTATTGGTATATTTAATAAAACTTGATAAATTTATAATCTTGAGCTAAATTTAAAACTAGATAATGCTCCGTTACGATAATGATTATAAAAGTCATTGTTAGACTATTGTTATTATCTTCGATAATTTTAATTAGTAACATTATCATATTCACAAATGAAATGAAACCATCTGAAATTTCTATAAGGATCACTATCAGGTTACCATCATGATTTTTAATCTTGAAGATGTATCGTCTTATTCCTAAAAAATTATTATTTGTTAGGAATTATTTTTTTAATATAGATTTTTTATTTATTATTTTAAATTCAAGGATAACATGTGATTAAATGATATTGCTTTTATTAATAGATATCGTAAGGTGCTAACATTTTTTTCTCATAAATTACATAACTGAACTCGATCTCTAAATTCGTAGATTAAAATTATTTTTTATATATAAATTTTAATTTTTTTATTAATACGAGGTAAGTATATAATAATATTGTTTAAAGATAATTTTCAATCATTTGACTTTGAATGTTCATACCTTTGATATTCATGGTGCTCGAACTCGAGATCTTACCACCGATGTCACTTGATTCGTGTTTTTCTATTACTTAGTCACAAGTGATTGTGGAGTTTGGCCCGACATGACAAAGACAATAACCGAGCACAAGGAGTGTTACACCACTCCGAGTTGATACCTTACCCATAATAGGGAGAAAAGTTAATGAGTAGTAGGTAGAGGTGAGCGTTCAATCAAGTCGAGTAAAACAAATTCGAATTATTTGAGTTGGTAAGTCTTATTTTAGAACTCGGTGATGACTTGAAATTTTTTTAGTCGAGTCGAGTCAAATTTTCGAGTTTATATTTAAATTTAATTGTAAATATTTACAATATTATGACATTATTTTATTCCAATTTAAATGTTATTTTATAACCATATACATACTTATTTTTTTTTATATTTTTCATATGTAATTTACATATATCATACAAAGTCGAGGGACTGGACTCATACTTGAAAATCAATCTATTAATTATTAAAAAATTACGAGTTATTCGAGTTGTATTTTACAACTCAATTTGAACTTAAAATTTTTTCGAGTCTAGTCGAGTGTATGAAATTACAACTCGAATTCAATTCGAATAAAAAAAATAATTTTTTCGAGTCGAGTGAAGTTTTGCTCACCTCTATTATTAGATGCACCAAGCCACCAACCACTCACACGATGATGCCCTTCCGATAACCATGTCCAACTAAGCTCGCCGATTTTCATAACTTGAATTTCGGGGAAAATTAGTCATAAGAATTAACCCTAGTTATTAACCTACTAAGGTTTTAGGCCTACCTCGCTTCAAAAAGATGTCGAGACCCACACCCCATTTCAATTTATTTTAAATTTGTATTAAAATAAAAGAAATCCTTTAAATGATTTGATCGCACCCAACAAAAATATTGATGAAAACCTCCTATTTTTAAAAGATATTTTATTTTGTAAATAAATTTGACAGCTTAAAAATTTGAAAATATACAACTTCCTCCACCCATCCCTTTGTTTATCAGCTTCCTACCTGTTCGGTTCCACTGTCATCCGGCCAAGCCTCATCCTTATGTTACTACTTCTGGTTCTTGCGCTTTTATCCGATCGTCGATTGTTTATCCCATCAGAAAATTACGACCCACCAGCATCCAGGAAAATTTACTTACCTACTTTTTGCAGATTTGGATTCGAAATTCAAAACGTCTTGATTTTTGTTGTTGTCAGAATGAATCCTTCTTAGCACTCGTCTCTTCTTTATTATTATGTCGTAAAGGTTTGAGTTCTTTTAGAGTAGTATTAGTTAAAGATTTATTGCTAAAAGATGCCCATTTTCATATTTTAAGATACGAACCAAGTGATTTTAATAATTAAATTGATGATTATTGTCTATAAAAGTTTTGAATTCGAACACGACATTTATAAGAATTCATTTTAAAATAATTAAGAATATTTCGAACATATACTAACTTGTAAACACTTCACAAACTAATAAAAGAAATACTTTTAAGGAAAATATCTCCACAGTGCAACTTTTATTGATTGACACACAAACATCGAGCAAAAGTACATATGCCCATGAATTTGTGTATTAAGTGCAAGGCAAAGCTTGAGCACTTTGCTGACTTATAAACTCCTACTAACGACATAATATTAAGTAAGCAACCATAATTGAGGAAACTAATTATCTTTTAAAAGACTGTTTTTTCTCAAAATACAATTCCGGTGCTTCATTCAAGCTGAACATCGGATTCATAAGCAACTCCAGCTTCCCAGTTACTGGGGAGCGCATTTGCTGCCTCCACCCAATACACCCCGGCGCTGCCACTCACTTGGAACCTAAAACTGACATATCCCGATGATGGCGGACTCGTCGTGTCGAAAACCGCCCCATACGCCCTCCTCATTTCTATCCACTCATTACAATCCGCCTGCGCCGATCGATTGTCATACGCATCAGTGTCGTCACGACAAATACTAATGTTTCAAAGTTACTGAATTCATTACAGCATTTTAATTACCTGCCAAACTTGTGCCGCAAGGATCTCGGTTCTGCCGGCTTGGTACAAGATCACAATGGCCAAGTAATTGGAGTACTTGCTATGTTCATGAACCTTGAACTGCAGCTTGTAACCACCGTAGCGGCAGGGGATTCTCTTGTATTCGACTTCAACTACTCCATAAGCGTACAGCTCGCCCGCTTTGTCCGACTGTGCCATTCTACCGTAAGCGCGGGGGCTGAGGATAAAATCGGTGTTGTCTCCTTCTCCATAGTCGGTCACCACTATGTTCACCCCATTATCTGTGCAGAGTTGAGGGTTTGTGCACCTAACCTGATAGCAAGCACCACAGCCAGCTCCATTTTTGTAGAGCCTGTACGAAACCCCAGCCACATTCGCATCATTCACGGTCCTTCCATATTCTCCATACCCGCAAGCTCCTCCTGAAATTCATCACAGTTTGAGCCAAACATGTCGGACATCTAACGAAGAATCCATAAACACGACGAATTAAATAAATAAAAATGCATGGATTATATAGGAGCAATGTACGTACTTGGAGTCCCTAAACAGTCAGGGCTGCCATAGTAAGTTGCTCTGGACTTAACGAAATCGTCCTGAGAGTAACAGAGTGTAGAAAATAGCACCATGATCGACACAATGCAACAGTGGAACTTAAATGAGTAGCCCATGTTTTCAGCTTCAAAAGCAATAATGGAACAAAGAAAAGATAAGAGATTGAATGAAGAACTGAGATGAGAAGCTGAGAACTCGAGTCCCATATTTATAGTGGAAGGGAAGAGGCTGCTGTTGAGCAAATTATTATACCTTTTTTCTTCCACTAATTAAAGGGTTTAATGGGGGGTAGGATTAAGATGAATGATGTGAATTGTTTTGACAAATTGATATATTATATTATTTGTTTATGCTATAATTGGTTTTCAACCATTAAGGAATAACAGTGAAGAAGATGTTTTTGGTATTCTTCGTCCTCGGTTCCTCCTTTTTCAACAATTCAATGAAAAGAAAATCAACAGAAAGATGAAATAAAAGAATCCCACATTTTCAGCTGGTATAACCGGACGTAGAATACAATCTTTAAACCCACAATATTTTAGCTGAATTGGTTAAGGTGAAGTACATAATCTCATAAAGCGATAAGAAAAGCTTCCCAACCGTTCCTCTGGAAAATAAATTCAGTAAGCCACACATGTAACTATAATAGTTGTCGTATGGTCGGTACAAACGTGAGTTGTCTACTAGGAACCAATTTAGACAGACCTACTTGTTAGATCCACGTCTCTTCCTTAGACTTAAAACAAAGCTTATTAGACCAAGGCTTAGCTACTTCTCAAACAAAACTAAGAGAAAACTTCCTTCGAACGTACCATGTAGGACTCAAAAACTTCTAGTACATACGAAAATTAGAGTTCTTTGTTTGAAAACTAAAACTTTACAAACTCTTATAGTACTAGGACAAGATGTCTTAAAACCTCTGTTATGTTGTCATGGTATTGAGACGTCTTCATTGTGTTGTCATAGTGCAAATGTGTTGAACCATGTTTTATAATGTTTTGATATAACAAATCAAGACAAAACATTTTTGGACTTGATTGAATTTGTTCAAAGTTTTCAAAAATAAATCAAAGTTCATAAAACTAGAATTTGAGCACAAAACTGTTTTTCTGGGTACGTAGTACCGATACTGTTCTTATAGTATCGATACTATATGAACAATACTGATACTATTCATGTGGTACTGATACCAAAGGTAAGAGAGATATCGATACTCTCTAGGTAGCATCGATACTACCAGTGTTTTCAAAATGCTCAAATTCCAGAATGCAAAATAGGTATGATACTTAAGGGGTACCGATACTACTTTACAAAGTGGTATCGATACCATGAGCATAGTATCGATACTGGTCAAGCCCAACGGTCTTTAACGGCTAGTTTATTTGAATATAACAAAGGAAATACCGATACTCCCTTTACTAGGCAGTTTTATTTTGCAGAGAATTAATCTACAACGGCTCCAAAACATCCCCAAACGCCTAGAAACGACAACAAATTCATTCCAACATATAAAAACAAGTTGAGGACACTTGAAGAAGGTTACCAACACCTATCCAAGCATTCATACACAAGAGAAAAGTTTTTCAATATTTAATTTTCTTTCTTTTGTAAATATTTGTGTTTTGAGCTTAATTGTATATCCTTAGGTTTTGTTGTTGTGAGCTTAAATCTTTGTAAACACCTTCCTTTAGAGAGGTTTTTCTTGTTTACATTTCTTTACCTTTGTAAAGGGGATTGGTTCTAGCTAAGCCTTTGAAAAGCTAGTGAGTTGTAAATGTTATCTCTTAATCCTGTAAAAAGGAAGAACAAATTAATGAATTTGTTAGAAAATCCTTAGTGAGGAGCTAAGGTAGTGGATGTAGACTTGGTTGAGAAGTCGAACCACTATAAATCATTGTGCAAATTTTTTATCCTTTTTTACTCCATACTCTCTAAACTCAAAAAGCCAATTCACCCCCTCTTGGCATATATTCGGTTGATCGATTGAGCTTTATTGCGAATATCCCAACAAGATGCCTTCTCTTTGGTCAAGTATGTTAAGTTGTCTTTGCATTAATCGACCAAACAAGTTAAGATGTTTCTGTTATCCAAGGGAAATAAGATGTGTGTACCCCATACATTTTCGAGTTACCTTCGTTAGGAATCGATATGCCTTCACCCTAAACTTACGACTTATGAAAACTACACACGGGGATGGAAAACCTCAACTATAGCAATAGGAGTGATTCTATTGTGCTTTAACGAGCATCAAGACATCATTTTCCTTAACTAGAAATATTTCAACTCTAAGTTTCTACCTAGGTAGAGATGCCCCAATTATATCAAAAAAAAATTCTCAAAGCATGAAGATGCCTCTGCTATACTTGTTGTGCATTATCGTGGGCTAAGTTTCCCAATCTAACCGGATCAAGAAGCCACTACTTGAAAGCACTAAGATACATCTACAATACTCATGCCAAGAGGGAGTTGCCATACATTATTGTTATCACAACTTTTCATATCCTCCACAGAGTGTTGAGATGCCTCCACTCAGTGACATGAATTTATCTGTTGTGACTATGAGTGTAGAGATGCCTTTTCCACAACAAGGGAGACAAAAACTACCCAATTGTATCTACCCCAACAAAGAATACTTTGCTCGATAATTGGATCCTTCTAAGGGCGTCGAGTTTCCTTCTCTATCGGTGAAAAATGATAAAACTACTATATTTCTCTCTCTTTTTCATGCTAAATGTCAGCCAAAAGAGTTAAGATGACACTATTCTGACAATTGGAACACTCCATTACCACACTATAAAACATTTAGAAGCTCCATCCAAAAGTATCGAGATGCCTCTACACAACTCTTAATTCTGGGTGAATTCACCTCACACTCTAGCTATAACAACTTTATGAATTCTCCAAAGAGTGTTGGGATACCTCTGCTCAACGAGTATAAAGATGCCTTTAAAATAATAAGGGGATAGAGACCTCCCCATTGTTTCTACTAATAATAAAGAAGCCTCCACCTGTTGACTGAACTTCTCTAAAGGTGTTAAATTTCCTCTTCATTGGCTAATAATGCGAAGATACCTCGTACAACAATGCACTATAACACTTTCATGGGCACAATTAGATTGATACACCTCCGCTATGGTTGAAAAAACTTATCATTGACCTCTATATAACATGTGAAGATAATTCTCGATTAAGCATTAAAAACCCTCTATAGGGAAGCATATACTGATTTAAGAATGAAACTAGTTTTAAGATGCCCCAAGAACTCGAAGGAATGGAAGAGAGCCCAAAGACATCCTCTAGAACAGTCTAGCCTGACTACTTAGTCCAACACTCAGTCGTCCTTGAATTGTTCTCTACTCCGAAAATATCTATACCACACATCTCAATCGCGCTAAAATCATCATCGAGTGAGTCTTCTGACCTTCTATTAATATCATCGTCTAGCATGTTTTCGTTACTAGGCCTAAAATCCTTGAAAAACCATTGCGATAATTGCCTCTTTGACCAGGGCCTCAAGGAACATGATAGAAGACAAAAAGTGTATCAACTTTATCTACCTCTTAACCATAATAAAATCCACAGTAACTTATATATGCCTTCATAGGACTCCACATTTATGTTATTCCTAACAGGCATGGGACATTCTACATGTAACACCCCAACCCGTATCCGACCCGAATACAAATTAGAGGTGTCACATTGACTTTTCAAATCTTTGACCTTTAACAAATAGTTGACAATAAAATTTTCTTTTGAATAGTAGAACATTTTGATAAAAGATAAAGAGTACAACTTTCCAATTCAACTGAAAATATATAATTCATCATTTACATAAATACCATAAAATTTACATTTACAAAAATTGATAAGAGCATTTCCATTTAAACCAATGATGCATGCCAACAAAATGTACAAAACTTATAAACTTACTTTTCAAATGATTATGATCTGATCTTCACTGCTTATGTTGTCCTCTCTTAATCTTCACTTTTCTGATCTCTTTGAACCTACGTGTGAAACAATCCACACGCTAAGTCTTTGACTTAGTGAGACAATAAGTAGTATATAAAAGAAAAACATTTCAAAAACATTTTTCATTGATCTATATAAAGCTTTTCATACTTGAATTAAATATGGTTTCTACACTTACATTAAATCACTCTTTATTCAACTTGCATCCTTATTCTTTTATCCCAATGTATAACACTGAGAATTCATGATATCTGAGTACACTGAGGTTGTGCACAATTGTTGTCACCACAGCTCATATAATTTGCACCGAAGTGCCACGTAGAATTTGTCCCGAATGACCACGTAGAATTTGTCCCAAAGGACCACACATAAATATCCCGAAGGATCACATAGGTTGTTGAAAACATTTTGATATTTTGATATAACAAATTAAGATAAATGATTTTTAAGATTTTCCAAAATATTTTCTAATTATATTCGATATAATTATTCGAATATCAAAATATTACTCCAAATCTTTCAAATGTCATTTTTAATCCTTACTCAAGTGTAAAATTAAGTTTTAATCTTAAAATAATTTCAAAACAATTTTACAAAGTATTTCGAACCGTTTCAAAGCCAAAAATTCCAGAATGTCCAAAGGGAACCGATTCCCCTGAATGGTTTGGCTCCGAGAAAAACAAAATGCTCGGAGGGAACCGATTCCCCCCCAGGGGGTACCGATTCCCCCTGATCAACGTTCAAAATATTTGAATTTTACACTTAGGGAATCGATTCCCTATGAGGGGGTACCGATTCCCCCCACGCTCCAAGCTATTTTATTAATTGATTTCACACTAAAACAGCTCCATTGACTCCACTAATCATCCCCAACGTTCAGAATCAATTGAAGGAGTATTTAAACAAACTTAGAAGCCATTGATCAACAACAAGAAACAACAATCATCAAGAGTTGAGAGAGAATTAAAGAGAAAGCATCAAACTCATTGTTTGAGCACTTCAAGCCTATTTTTCATTCAATATTCATTGTGCTTTCAAGAACATCATTTGTGCTCTATTGTATTTATCCTTGAGTATTCTTTCTTTGTTCTAGAATTGTGCAAACAATCTACCTTGTGAGGTTTTCCTTGCAACTTTGCAAATTTGTGTATTTCTCTTTGAAAAAGAGTGTGCT